TATAAGTAAAGCTTGCATATGAAATATAAAATTGGATAGACAACCCATATATACCTCCATATAGTTTCGAAGACTGGCGAATTCCTGGTTGGTTCACTGCAAGGAACTCCGACGAGACATCTAATTATTCTCGGTACTCTTAGTATGGATATAAAAAGATATGATTAAATCTAATAGAAAGGCTAGCATATAGGTAACGGTGGTGTGTCAAATTGCGGTACCTATAGAAGCGTGACTCTATTTTCGTTCAAGAACATGCCGAATTAGAATAGGACTAACTGACGTAAGTCTATGATGGATTGGTAAAATAAAGCTATTCTATACTGCTATATTGTGACTAATCACCGGTGCAGATGGCTGCATCTCCAGCAGCAGTGTAACAGCAACATCGCGAAATTTGTTGCTATAGATAGCAGGGCGTAGCACGCCGTCGGTATCTCTGGGATCCGGATAGGGAACATACGATTCGGGTGCCATTTAATAAACGCAGACCAATATATTGCCTTGTCTCAGTTACCGATTTCTACAAGATGAAGTCTATCTACCATCTGGAAAGCTGATCTAGACGCAATCAGACGCGTCTTTGAGACGACATGAGTGAGTTGGCGCCTGATATCGCAAACGCATTATTAAGTACGCGCTTTTATAGGCAAGCGATGAGTAGGTAATTCTAAATTAGGTTTGATGGGAGGTGGCTGATGGGAAATTCCTGCGATCAGAAACGTCCAAGTTCTCGTCTAGCGAGTCGATGAAGGCCTTGATGGAATACACCAAGGTCACACTAAACAACAACGGTTACAGTATGCTTGACTGGTAGATCTTCTTATGAACCAAACGGGCGTAGCTATAGCGAAGTCATTATGCCGATTGTATTAGGTAGGGGGTTTACTGTATTCTATCTTGGTTGTAAATGAAGGAATTTTGGAGTCTATCATGGACTTCGAAGCGTAGGCGTATGCGCAATTGAAGGCCGGCATTTAGCGTTTATGACGTGCTGTTTTAAGATAAGAGGTACCTACCTATATTAGGTACTTAGCATCCTCCGAAATTGTCATAATAATTGAGAGAGCACGGAGATACGGTCGAACTAGATAACTACCTTGAGCAAATGACTGTTCTACTAGAAACTTTTCCGTGATAAGAATTTCTCCAGCAAATTACAAGCAAACCACGAGGAACGAGCCTGGGCGACAAATGTGACAAGATGCAGCGTTTGGAGGCCACAAGAAACGGTACCTCCTAACATCCCTGTTAACATATGCTGATTGGTCAAACAGCCAGGGGTCAAGTCCCAAAGCGCCCTTTGTTAAGCGCTTGCTATATTTCAACTACCAATAACAATTCGATTCCATCTAAATAAAAGATATCTTATTGCTTAACTCCTGCGTCTGAGTTGGTGGCACCCAATGAGGACTATGGAAAAGTGCCGGGACCCCTGAGGTCTCAACTGCCAGCGGTGCATTAAGTCTCTACATAGAAGAGCTAGAGACAGTACCTAGGTTCCTATCAACACCCACCATGCATAATCCCGTCACATCATTAGGATGCTTTTACAGAATGGTTTCTCTAAGCGCCTCAACTAACCATCCCCACCAGGACGAGTTGCTCGTTCATAAGTATCAAGAGCCCCGATGTGGCGTGATACAAATCCTGGTTCTCTTCCTACCTTCAATATCGTCCCGTATGACTGGATGAGATTTGCTCAAAATCTGTAGCGGCCGCCTTACGTCGTCCCACGTCGTTCTACAAAGAACCAGAGTGCCGGCTCTCACTTATATTCCTTTCTTTTTCGCTAGTGCAAGCTCACCATGGCGACCTCTACTTCAGACCCATTCCCGCTGGCGACGGATGAACCTTATAACGAAGGCGACAGTGGACCGGGCTCGATCAGTTCCGGCGGCAGCATTGACGATTCTGCAGGGGCAGCTGGAAGCAGTCCTGGCGTTATTCAGATTTCCCATGGTGCGATAGTTGCAATAATAGTTGTCGTTGCCGTTGTTTGTGTACTTGGCAGTGAGTTCTTCCGCATAACGGCTGGTTTCAATGAGCTAACACGACGTAGTCTCTACAGCGGTGCTCTTTTACCTGGCCAAGAAGAGGGAATGGAAGGTTAGGGAGAGCATTCGTCGTTCGGCAAGGAAGGTAGTCACTGCTCTCACACCCCGTCGATCGGAATTCCCAAGGTCGGTTAAGGAATCCTCCGGTAACTCATCTCGAGGTCGTCTTCGCTTGGATGATGTACCACCAACACCTAAATTGCGGCCCGAAGATGTTGAGAAGGGCCTTGCCCAGTCAACTACTAGAGTGGATTCGGAGAAGAGAGGCAAGAAGTGGACGAGGAAGTAAACAATCGCGCGGTGCGAACTATTTCGGATAGGTCATGGTTACTTGGAAGAAGACTTGGGCGTCGGGTCGGTCATGGTATTTAAATGGCCTCACTTATAATTGGAGAATGGAGTCCAGGAAAGGGAGCCAACTGCCTATTAAATTTGTATCAATATCGCTAGTATATCGCTGGGTATCAAAGCCGCCTGAAGACGTTAGTACTAGCACTTCGTCGTGGGTCAGTTCGTCTATCTTTTGGTTGAGCTTTCGGAGCTTCATCGTTCTTCTTCCTTCTAGAGCCCGGCACGAATGTGACTTGTCTCTCTCCAACTACGTCGCCATTTCGGGTTTTGTTGACCCTGCCTGACTTCTGAGCTCTCGAGCCTAGAGAGGCGTCCTTTGACAAGTGGCTGCTCTCCCGATTAGACGAACTAACTCGCATGACCATCCCCTTCTGCGTAGTCCTTTTAAGTGACATCTCATCATCACTCTCGCTAGTGCTGCTAAGGTCTTCGCTCTCGTCTGAGAACTTCGGACCGGGGACCGTACTTTTTACACCTGTCTCCGGATCGACCTTCGTGCTGGGATTTAGGACCTGGAACTCGCGGCTGTTTTCATCAATCTTGAATTCTTCGTCTTCGAATAGACGAGTGAATCGTTCATCTCCTAGCACACCAGCATTCGTATCGACATGTGCCCTCCTTTCCTGTCGCTTGAGTAACTTATCAACCAATTTTTGATTGACCTTAACCTTCTTATTTCCACGGATTCGGCTAGCGCGCTCCTTTTCAACCTTCTCCTTAATGCGTTTTGCACGTTCCTCTTCCATAGCGTAAGGGTTGGCGATTAACCGAGCTTGGTCGTACAGCTTCGAAGCGACGAAGTAACCGTGCATATAAGGGCGCAGCAAGTTCGTCTTGCCAATCAAGTGAGCGAGGCTTAGAGATTTCAATTCCGGCAATGTCAGGAACTTGAAGTTGTCGTATTGATCAGTGCTGACCTCCTCAGCCATCTCTTCGACCATGTTATCGAGGAACGAACACCACCGCGGCGCAGACCCCAGTTGTGGGATGAAGAAACTATGAAGGGGTTTACCCTCGTTGGCCGTAAGGATCATTCCTGTATTCTTGCACCATGTGACGAAATTGATATCGACTAATGGTTCAACAGAGGTCCAAGTCTCACCGTCAAGCTCGTCCCAAATCTTGATCATCTGTTTATCGGCGGATAAGACTTTCTTCTCTTGAGAGGACGTAGTCATGTGGATAAGACTTTTGATCGGAAATCCTGGACCGTGGTCCTTTTGTAACAGCGGTTTCGGACTTCGAAGATCAAAAAGTTTAATAAGCCCACTTGATGTGCCCGTCGCTAACGAAAGACCCGACGGGTTAAAGTCGAGGGCTGTTATTTCACCCTCCTGGCCGCCAAGGATAGCAACTCGCGACTTGGATCGCGAGTCCCAGAATTCAACGGAGCCAACAGATGTGCCAAATGCTAATAGGTTGTGGCTGTTCTCGGCAACTGCTGCTGTATTGACACTGCCGACGCCGATGCTTCCCTGTAAGCCGCCTTCTACGCCGTCGTCGGATCCAACATCGATCTGATATGATTTCATGAATCTCCCAACCTCAAGGTTCATTCGAAAGACTTCACCATTACCATCGGGATCTAAGCCGACTGAGGGAACCAACGCTTCGGTAGCATGCCGATCGTAAACAAGGTCTCTTCCGTACCTAGGCAGGCGTAACTCGTAGTGACAACCAGCGGGCGTCTATCGTACATATGTTAACATATTCCGCTCGCACTTAAAGCACCACTTCCTCTCAAAATCTTTTAATGCTTACATGGAACTCAAGTTTTCGGTCGCTCTGTAAATGTAGGGATTTCGTGTAATCGCTCGAGAGTAGAAGGAACGTCGTATTGAGAGACTTTGTATGCCTCGAATATGATAGGGAGAGATGAGGTAGGTAGTGAACATGGAATTGTGGTTTGTCTGCTAGACATTAATATGTTGTCTAAGGATCTTTTATAGGGCATTATTGCGACGTACATGTTCCAGTGGACATAATCCAATCATTGTCCTCTGAAACTCTAACACACTGGCTGGCTTCCTCAAACTCAAAGTCTTGAAGTAGTTCAATTCGATTTTGATACTCGGGGTCCGATTTCAAGCTGCGTTTCCGGCGACGTGCGAGCCTGCGTAGATCTAGTTAGTATCAACGTTCTCGTCGGGGAAGATACTAATTATCTTACCAGTCTGGTAAAGGCCGCGCAGTGTTAGCACCAGCTATTGTGTATACCGACACATCTCCTTGGTTGGTGACCTTCATGGCGACACAATTCACAATTGTTGCCGACAGAAGTTTTACGGTGATGGGGAGGAAAGAAATAACACGCGACAAGGCAATGGGTAGAAAAAGAAAGTAGAGGGGCGATAAGAAGAATTTCAGTGGAGATTACGATTCGATAAGGTACATGTAGTTCTAATCCGTACCTAAGGTTAGTTCTTTGCATAACGCGAGATCCACCATCTATTGCGCCCGGTAGGTGATTGGCCCTAGCCACAATAATGGATCAAGGTACTTTAGGTAAGATCCACAGCTGCCCGCGTGCCAGCCTCAACGCCCGGAAATATACCTGAATTAGGTACTTGGTACGGGACCTCAAATATTCCTCAGCCATCCTCAGCCATCCCTTCTATAGAACACCATCTGGCCATGATCACATACCTATAACCGGCCAATGCTGCGATCAACTCTATGACCTACGAAGCGATAGCTGTTTACTCGTCCGCTTCAGTATTCACTGTCCGATTCCAGCTTCGCATTGCCCCTTTTCACTAGGCGTTGCGGAGATGGAGTTCGGCATGTGTTCGAGACCTCAGAGATTGAAACGAACTCATCCAACTCGCTCTGTTCATTGTATCTTATTCTTATGTTAGCAGGTACTTGATTATAGGAATTCTGTGTTTGTTGTACGGAAACGACTACTAAATCGGAATGATTGATACGATTTACGATATGGACACTGGCGAATATGAGACTAATACATTAGTAATTGTGAGTGCAAGACACCAAGACATACTGATCTATTTGTATCGGCGCATCCGCTAACTAAGTCGTGATTTTAATATAGAATAATATATCCTCTGTTAACTTCGCCTTCTACGATCCCGTCTCCCCAACCTTAACATCCCTCGGTTCCTATGCGCTCGAGCTCGAGACTGCGCTCCGGAAAGATGGGTTCCTGGCATATTACGATACGGTTCGACGGGGTGTATGGTGCTTTTACTTGTTGCAGAAGAGCAGGCTGCAGGGAGGTCAATCAGCAATACCTACATTCCCCAAGTTGATTGGAAGTGCTGGGTTGAGCTTTTCCTTGACCGAGGAGGGCACCTTTGAATCGGCGACACTCGTTAAGAGTCGTACACATGGCCCAAATACCGCCAACACTCCAGCAAGCTCCTCATCCTCGACTGGATCGGCTGCTCTAGATTCGGCCTATAGAAATATGCAGTCCGCTACTTTTTCGTCAGCTCAATCGTTTTCCACTCCAAGCGAGCAGGAGTCCAGGACAGTCCCACCCATGGACTCGAAAATCGCTTCCTCGACGTCAACAAAAGATGTCTACGATAACTTTATCTGCGCTACTCTCTCTGCGGTATCTTCTAGCTTCTGTGCGAACACTGGGGCTATCCCGCTAAGTTCCCGGACCCTGCTTCTTTCGAGCTCTTCTCATGACGACTACGCTACTGCTCCTGCAACTCTCGCTTCCTTACGCGTATATCTCACAACAACTGGCAGCCTTGTCATATCTTTTTCGCTTTCTCTGGCGGAGGGTATAACAAACCTGTCTGAAAACCTTGGATATCCTCTTCCGTCTCTTGGTGTTACTGTCTTAGCCGCGCCATTAGGAATGTTTGCTACTTGCCACCCCGTCATTACGTCTGATAATGTAGCTACCGAAGGTAGTTTTGGCCAGTCCCCCGATACTCAGATTGTGAGGCTTAGGTCTGAAAGGGACGATGGGCCATGGCGGAATATTTGTTCTAAATTCCTGCAGGCCCGTAACATACCGTCTTCATTTTGTGAATCCCAAAGTTGGATTACTCTTCAACGAATACGAAGAAAGCCAACAGAGCAAAACGTAGATGGGAAACGGACACCGCTAGTAGGTACTTCAAACATATCGTGGCCTGCCAGTTTGTGCTTTTGTAAGATGTTTTCGCGACTAGGAATTGGAGGCGAAGGAGATGATGTCTCGGGGTCTGAATCCGACCGGAATTATGACACTCTGAGGGTCGCTAAGCAATGGTTTTTAGACGCGGGGGGGCGGGATGAGACACTCATAAAAAACAAAAAGGAGAGAGACGCTGCAACGGCTCGTGAAGTTACACTAGGAGACGGTCAAAATCAGCATACCAGTGGTCTATCTCCTTTGCCATTACAGCGATCTAATAATACTGGTGTACCGCCTGGTTTGTATCCGACACCTCCAGACGGTAATATCCAAAATATTGTTGGTGCGACGCCGTCTATGGACGGTACGGCTTCTAGTCCTGGAAATAACGCGGCTACATCTGCGTTAGACATTGATGGGACTCGTAATGTGAGATCATACGGAGATCATTGGGAGAATACGGACACGAAACGTGAGCGCATAGGTGCTTCATTTGAGTCAGAAAACCTCTTCGGCGAATTGGGTCCCGATATGTTTGCAGACACCGATATCACCGAGGCTGATTTTAATTTCTTTGATGAACAGCCTGGTGACATGGGCCTAAGTTCCCTTGATTTGCCTGGCATCTCAAATTCAGACTCAAATTTAGGCCTTACCGTCGGCCTTCCGACGGTACAAGAGTCTCAAGCTAAGGGAGGACCTCCGGATATTCGCTTAGTTGATGTCGCTTCGCCAACGTTCACGAAGCCTGAGCTAAGACATGCACGGAGCTCGCTAGGAGATGAAGCGCGACGCCAAGCTGGATTAGACGTTAATAGATTTCAGTCTGCGGGCGTCAAACGGCCCGCTAGTCCATTCAATCCGGATACCGTGTTCAAGAGAATTAAAGCGTCTCTTGATAACCACCATGCAGTTCAGGAGAACTCTCGTATAACAGCGTTTCCTCATAACAGCATTTTTGATAAAGTGGATTTTGGGCCCTGCTTATCAGCAGTGAACAGTAAATATGAAGGAAGTGGGCGGTTCGACTACTCTGTCGAGCGATCAGAAGATGTCAAGTTTTCTGGTCTGAATGAACCGCCAACGACGAGCTATTTGCGCCGCCATGTCAAGGCCCGGAAAGGCTTGAAAGAACTCCCTGCAAAGATCGGACATCTTCTAATTCACCCACCTGGTTCCCAGGTCCCCATATCGAATCGACCAAGCCCTTCAAACCTCGAAGAGACGCACTCGGACGCTGATGAAATTAGTCTTGTATCGGATCAGGATGATTTAAGCTACGATAGTGATGAGCCATTATCCCCCGTAAAATCCTTGAGTGTGAGAAGACGACTAGTTGATGACGATAGGGAGTCCCTTGCTACATCATTTAAGGAGCTTGAATCTATAGACCTGAGCTTGCCTCATCTACCACTTGAGTTGCCCCATGCGTGCAAGTCCGAGGCGGACTTGCCACTCACCAAGTACTTTGCCGACCCGGAACCGCCACTTTTCTCACCATCACTACCAGATGATCAGTTGATAATGGCGGCACAAATTCTTACAGACCAATTTTCTACTTCCACCTTTTCGACTACTACAACACCTCAACTGTTAGAATCAAGAGTTTACCAGCGCCGCCAGCTTACCAATCTCACACGGAGATCGATCCAGGATGTTAAGTCCAGCCTTCCCCCATGCCTTGCAACTGCTACGGAGTATCAATTTCGTCCCTTTATTGAACTTCAAGATGTACCCCTTCTCGGACAACCTACAAGAATGCAACCAAGGCCACCGGGAGCCGACCAGATGAGGCCAAGTAGTTTATTCCAGATCCCATCGCCACATTTTGAGTTGCGGCGATATGAGTCTAAGTTGTCTGTCTTGCCATCTGCTGTCGCTTTCTGGGAGAGTCTTGGACTAAGTCCGTCTCCTGGAAATAAAGACATCAATGCACTCTGTATTTTTCCCAATAACGAAGGCATGGCAGATGATATGCTTGTGTTCACAGATCGAATGCGTAGCATTTACGAATCATTAAAACTGGGTTCATTCAGCCGTCTTCCTACAACATCCGGTGTAGAGAACGGCATGTTTCCTTTCGCTTCCGAGAAAGACCTAATCCCATTCAGCAAGTCCTCATCTTTTCTACGGCCCTCAATAGCGAGCTGCGTTAATAAAATTTGTCAAGTGCTAGCATCAATGATGGTTGAAGAGATAAATTTCGTCATCTTCTTCGTCTATTCGCCAGATGTTGCTGGATCGGCAGTAGAATGCTGCGCTGCTTTCAACCAGATCTTCGAGGGATACAGAAGGATACTTTCGAGTAAAAAGTTATCAATCGTTAACGATCTAGCCCTACAACTAATACCACAAGATTTCATAGCGTCTTCATGTTCAGTCGCTATGCCATCTCCTTCTGAGTTTTGTAAACTGGCCATGGAGACATACGATAGGTGTACTCAATTTGGTGGAGCGGGACCATCCCCGGCAATAATGCTTGAACAACCACCACCAAGGATGATCGATTTCAAACTGACCACCAATCCGTCCGCGTCGTTGTTACACGAGAACACTTGCCTCCACATCGCTTATGCGCAAAGCATAGATGGAAGGTGGGTTACAGCGGCTTGGACAGATAATAGGGGTAGCCAACAAATGACGGCATCATACTGTCTAGGAAGAAAAGGAAAATGTCTATCGAGGCCAATCGCGGATGTTACGACAGAGATCTGGGGTGCCACTCGTGACTTCATCTCTGCTCGGAAAGTGCACTGGCGAATCATTATCGCGAAATCCGGTACGATGGAACAGTCCGAGATAGAACTCTGGTCTGCTCTAGCTCAAGCAGAGTCAAAAGCATCGATCAGCTTAACGCTGATCGTAGTAGACACTGACCCATCTATGCAACTCCTCCCCCCGGCAGTTAAGATAACAAGCAATGCCTTATCTGTATTCTACACCACGCCGGTTTCAACGCCACAAGGGTCTATGGTGTCGCCAGAGCAAAGCGGCAACCCACTTACGCCCATGCGAGAGAATGCACCTACAAGCACACCGACGCCCAGCGGGGACAACAATCCAGAAGCCGATAGTGACGCTACATTAACCGAAATCACCGATCAAACGTGGGGTGCCGTCCTATCCCACAGATTGAACAACTCGACTTCCTTGACAGAGCTGAATCCGGCACTAATCAGTGGGTATCTAGTAAAACGTGGTGGGACGCGAGTTGAAGACCCTCCTGTCCTCCTAGAGGTCAACCTAGTACATAATGAGGGGAACCCTCGAGCATATGAATCTTTATTAAGGGAAATACTTACGTACTACCGAGGGCTCGGGACACTAGCTCGAGCGCGTGGCATGGTAGGCAAGGAAACAGATATCCGGCCATGGCATATTGCCGCGGCTGAGAATGCGGTCAAAGCGTTATACATGTTGGTATGACGTAGGTAGTCACTATGGGCAAGATGCCATTACGTGTAGAAATGACTATTTGCCAGGTTGAGGCAGTTTGTTAGCAATATAATAAGATATCAGCACCCATGCTTCACTTCACGAACTAAGTACGGGCATTAGATAAATATTTCTGCGCGGTTCGGGATTGTGACCTGTTTCAGTAACGGTGATCAAGAAAAAGCAAAACAAAAAAGCAGCTATCAAGTGCGTGTCGCTAAGAGGGCGTAAAAAGCACGGGTTAGTATCATTAGAAACCAATCGGTATCGCCTTACTTTCGTCATTACGCTCTTGTACAATGTGACAAATCAATACCATCTGCGGGGTGTAACAAAGCTGAAAGGGGCCAACACGAGTTCGAATGCGGAGATAGAACAAAGAAGTTCGTTAGTTTAGGGGGTTATGATTCGAACCCCCATGTTACACCAACGCCACGAGACTATTTCCTTATGTTCTCCAACGATTATTGGCATCACGAGCAACATAGTAGCGTACACACCACCCTGAAATGCGCTCGAAAATAAAGACTCTACTCGACTAGACTAGACGATATGGCCATGTCTAGATCGCCACCGCGTACAGCCTCGGGTAATGTTATAGCAGATGGGAAATATAAGTTACTACTCATTGCGAGTTCCTGTAAAAGAAAATTCCTTTGTTTATCATATTTGATTCAATCGAGTTGTGTTGATTTGATGTCGGGGAACTTGTGTTAGTTCTTACCCCTAGTTTGACAGAGAAACTATTTCACTACAAAATTTGCTACTACCACCTATGTGAAGTTCCTAGTTACAGGAAGGGACATATCAACATGGGATCCTTACCAGAAAAGACCAACACTCCTGAGACCCTCGACTTAATTGTCGTAGGTGCTGGGATATCCGGTATCAACAGTGCCTATAGACTGCAAACGGAGTTTCCGCAAGCTACGTTTGCCGTCTTCGAAAACCGAGACAGCGTCGGCGGCACTTGGGATCTCTTCAAATATCCAGGGGTTCGATCAGACACAGACCTCTACATGTATGGCCTTACATGGCATCCCTGGCCGTATCCCAAAGCCATCGGACAGGGTAGCCAGATAAAGGAATATCTAGAAACATCCGTGTCTAAGCACAACCTCGATCGTCATATTCGGTTCAGGCACAAAGTCCTGTCTATGAACTGGTCTTCCAAGTCAGCACAGTGGACTGTGAACGTGAGCCATGATGGCGTTCTTAAGGAGTTTAAGGCACGCTTTGTAATTCTAGGAACAGGATATTACGACTACGACACTCCACGGCAGGCCCATATTCCTGGCATTGAAAACTTCAAGGGCCAGGTTATCCACCCTCAGTTCTGGCCTGATAATTTCGACTATGCCGGGCGAGACGTGGCCGTCATCGGTAGCGGAGCAACGGCTATTACACTTGTCCCCAGTCTAGTGAAGAAAGCTAGCAGAGTTACTATGATACAGAGAAGTCCTTCTTACATATTAGCAGTGCCCGACGATGATACCCGTCCGGCATGGATGCACCCATTCCTACGAGTGTGGAACACGATCTTCTCTTGGTTCGTCATACTATTCTGCAAGTATTATCCTATGTACGCCAAGAGCTATCTCATCAATAAGGCGCTTCCACAGCTGCCAAAATCTGTCGACATTGACCCTCACTTCACGCCTCGATATCTACCTTGGGAGCAGCGCCTCGGCTGGGCTCCCTCGGGGGATTTTTACCAAGCTCTCCATGATCCGAGAACAAGTATCGTAACCGGCGCAATCAAGCGTGTCACAGATAAGGCTATTGAGATGGATAACGGCCAAGTAATCGAAACCGACGTGATAATTACAGCGACGGGGTTAAGAACGTTGCTCGGCGGGCATATTGATATCAGGGTGGATGGCGAAAAGATAGAGTGGGGAGGCAGATTCATATGGAACTTCTCAATGATACAGGACATTCCCAACATGATGCTCGTGATGGCATACGTCAACATCCCATGGACTATAAACGCCGACTTAGTTACTACCCGCTTTTTCCGAGTCTTGAAGCACATGCAGAAGCGTGGCGCTAGGATTGCTGTCCCACGCGTTCCGAAGGACTCGACCATGAAAACTGAGCCATTCTCTCCTCTGACATCTACCTTTTATACCGAGGTAGAGGATAAGATGCCGAAATATGGCACAAGCGGGCCATGGAAAAGAAAGGTCCATGTTCCCCTTGACTATATCAATGCTCATTGGGGGGATGCTACGACTGGCTTGGAATTCCACCCCTGATTGATACAACCAATCTTAGCAAAAAGCAGTAATGAATTATGTATGTGTGAAGTGAAAGGATATGCGTCCAGACGAAAGTATGACCGGGAGGATTCGGGCTATAAGGATTCCACGCCATCAAGTACATAACACTCATTTCAGCTCACTGATGAGCTTAGTACTAGGTAGTCTTACTATATAAGTTCCTTCGGTTTCATGATATCCCGTCCTAATTATCTGATAGTTGCCTACCTAGGTACCTAAGTAGACATCATCAGCAGATGATTTATAATAAACACACCAGGCTAACACCTCAAAGTAGATAGGGGCGGCCTTTGGTTGGCTGTAAGCGGACTGTAGCGGACTATTGTCAGATGAAGTCTCGGCTGGACTGCTTCACGTGATCGGACCTTTCTATCGTTTTACCTACACGTAGGGCGGACTTCACTTAGAGCGCCGGATATTCTGCATATCTAATGGGTTGTCGGCGTTAAAAGATGTCAACCTATGCTTAAGTGCGTGTATCCTGTAGAAATTGATCAGCGGTTAGCATGCTACGAGGTAGCAATATAAATATCGACCACAATGGCCTCAATCACAAACACAGAATCCCACACATCCCATTCCATCTATTCTCAAACATTTCAGAAACTCTCCTACAACAGACTCTTACCAATAACATTATGACTCAACTCGTATGGCTTGTCACTGGCTGTTCTTCCGGATTCGGGGAGATTTTGATCCAGCAGATATTATCTCGAGGGGATCTTGCCGTTGCCACTGGACGAAAGCTAGACAAGCTCCAGCATCTTGAGCGACTCGGGGCGACTACATTAGAACTCGATGTCACCCACTCTCAGGAATCCATCAATGACACTGTCGCTAAGGCCACAGCCGTATACGGGAGAATCGATGTATTAGTAAATAACGCCGCATTCGTCGCGACAGGAGCGTGGGAGGATATTGAGTAAGGCAGAACGTATTCCGACGAAATCCCTTGCTTACAAAATGCTAGATACGATCAGCTCCTTGCCCAGTTTGATACGAATGTTTTCGGAGTCTTCAAGGTAACGCGCGCAGTCCTACCCCATCTAAGAGAGAGGAAGTCGGGTGTCATGGTATTCATCAGCTCTCTCTCGGGCTGGCACGGGCATGCTTTCACCGGTCCCTATGCCGGATCCAAGTTCGCTCTGGAAGGTAATGAACTCGTGCCGCCAAAATCAGGGTTCGTTGTTAACTGGATGTAGGCCTCGTCGAAAGTTTGAGTCGGGAAACGGAAGGTTTTGGAATCAGAACCTTGTTAATCGAGCCCGGTAGATTCCGAACGATGCTCTTGTCGCCGAGCAATCGACGTTCAGTGACGTCCAGTATCCCAGACTACGCGGGGGCTTCGAAGGCCAATATGGATGGGCTAGCGAAGGAAGATCGGTCGCAGCCCGGTGACACGGAGAAAGCAGTCGAAATCATCCTAGACCTTGTTAGAAAGGAAGGGTGCGCGCTGGGAAAAGAAGTGCCGTTGAGATTCCCTCTGGGCAGGGATTGCTACGATACGATCAAAGGGAAATGCGAGGAGACTCTGCTCTTGCTCAAAGATTGGCGTGATGTTATTAATAGCACGGATCATGATGGCTACCCTGCACTGAGTTAAGCAGGGATATGCGACTCGTGGATAATATTCATTACGATTATATTATAGGTACGGAAGTAAATTACAGCATCTTCCATAAACCACCTCCAATCTGGTCTGTAAACTTCGTTAGCCGGCATCAAGATTTCAGGACAGGTCTGGATACTTATCAACTATATTCCTACTAGTCCATGCATGCCAGTCAGTTCAGGTTTGTGACATGGCATTGCTGATGTTTTCATTATTAAAGAAATCGTCGGGCCGTTCCAATACCATCCATCCCATACCGCCTGATAGATGCCACGCGATGTGACCTAGGTTGAAATGTTAGCCCTCCGCATTACTTCGTCTTGAATCGTGATACACTTACAGTGGAGCAGCCAAATCCCCGGGTTATCCTGCTCCCATTGAATCACGATATAATGACCGCGCAAAAGCATCTGGACGTCGCGACGTTGGGGGTTTCTAGGATTGGCAATAGATCCGTCCCAACATGAGCCATAGTTGCCGATTATAGTTGGTCTCGACCTGTCCTTACGTCGTTTCTCTAGGTGCTCCTGAGCCGGTTCGCCATATACCACAAGTTAGACGACCCATTTAGACGTAGCTCGACGGGGAGTATTTCTGTTACGTCGGGCTCGTCAGGAGATAGCTGGTAAGCGGACACAGTCCGCGATAAAGGATCATTACCGCAATAGTTATTTATACGCGTTTGGTCCGGGTTGGGTCGCCGGCATTTGTGTTCGGTCGGCCTTCTCGTAGAATATTGCCTCCGTTGCTAAGTAAGACCCTTGTTTTCCCGGAGAACAGTTGGGTGGTTTATACGCACTTAGCCAGATCGAGTCGGTCGGGTTACCTGTCGCACTTACCACGACATCCGTATTACAATAGGTCCCGAGAATCCGCTTGCTGCCTGCGACTCATAGTGTGAACGATACCAGTACCATACAGTTCTGGTTTGAATATGTAGGTATAAGCAAACCCATCATTACCAACACCGTTATGTAAGGGACGCACACTGAGAGCTGCCGTTGCCCATTGACGTACTGAAGTCATACTAGTATATGCTCACAAGTAGGAAGCCTTTCTCTAAGCCAGTCTATCCGGCCTAACCTAATATTCTTGTAAGCAATAGATATTCGAACACAGAAGTGCTAGTAACAGGATAGAACGAATAGAAATTGGAACTAGCTCGTAGAGGATAAATACCAAATAATGATTACCCCGTACGCATTTACCCCCATGAGGGAATAAGCAATAGATACGGACTTACAATTACATTAAACCCTGAAATTTGGTATATCAACGCAGTTCTTTTGAGTAATTTTAGAACTATTCATCCCGTTCGTTTTCATTCCTTTATATTAACTAAAGCAGACAGTTTCAAATAAGGTGCCTAAGAGGTAATTAACCAGCGTCTAGATAACAGAGGACGACTTATTAAAGTCAATTAACTATTATTCAGGTAACAAACGCAGTCAAGCCACATAACATTATGGATAACCAAAAAGCAGAAAAACAACTGATATTCTACCAGCATGACATAACACAAAGACATAAAGGACATGAAATGTACCTGGACATTGTGGCTTTATTCAAGTAAATATTAGGCTTTCAAAAGGGTTTGGGTGTAGAAGATATGGCGCAAATGTGTCTGTTTCTTTCAACTTTTCACTTCAACAGACACCATGTCTTAATATTCTATTCTATAATAACTTTATTTACTCTACAAATCCATTCTTATTCTTGATAAATATATTCTTTATGTTCTTAGAAACTATGAATATGTGTTTTATCTGCTAAATGTTAATTTTACTGTAAGACTACAACTCCCTAGATCACTATATATTAAGACGCGACTGTGAGCAATGAGGATTGTAATTATGTCATCATCATCATAAATGACCTAAAAGACTAAAGGAACTCAGTATAGGTTAAGATTATGGTTGATATATAAACCCATCAGGACATACTATAGAAGATTATCTTGTTTATCGATACTAGTTGGCAATGTCTACCGACCCTATCAATGCGGTGAACCTCGATACTCTGATCATCAGAATAAAAGGGGTTGAAAACCCGAGAGAACGTGTAAACGTAAAACTACCCGAAGGACGAAGCTTGGACCACTACGGTAATATACCCCTTAATCGATTTATTAAACAAGATGGTCGAGCATCGGTACGTCGGCTATCGAGCGATTTCGATTACGAAGAATTCCGAAAGTTTTTGGAGATAAACAAGATAGTAAAGCGTGATGTGTTCTTAGACCCGGGACCACCCTCATCCGTACTTGATAGTACCAATTCCTGGTATGTCCTTTTGGCTAGAGTTCAATCGGGCGAGCATCCACTGACCGAGAAGCCCGACGGTTTTAAATATCTCAGATTAGGCCCCCCGTCTGAGAATACAGCCCCAGCCCCAGCCGCAGCCGCAGCCGCAGTACCAGCTGGAGGCGGAGGCGGAGGTGGAGGTGTAGGTCCGGGCCCAGTTGCAGGAAGACGGACTTTAAAACCCAGTGAACTTGGGTCACCCTTTCCCGGCTCCCTTGATAAGGTAATTAGCACACCTACCCGTCGCCCGGCACCGCCTGCTGGCGGGGCACTACCTGCTCGCCGAGGCGCTGGAGGTGGCCCAACACCGGGCCGAGATCTCGCGTCGGGTACGAGACCGGTCCCTTCAAGTGCTAAGAAGGAGGTGGGCATTAATGATATGAACTCTATCGTCGAGGGCACTAACGTCATACACGAAGATGACGAAGATAAATCAAATGCAGATGTAGACGAGAGCAGCATGGCGGACGGTGCAAACGCAATTGTGAATCAACTCAACATCAACCAGGCACAAATTGACTCGACTACTTGGGAAAGTGTTTGTCAGTTTTTCGGATGTAATACTAATGATACGGAGGTGGAAGTTCCAGGCCTTAAGTTAAGACTAAGGGGGTATCAAATGCACGCAGTTTACTGGATGATAATGCAACCTCTTCGTAACATCCGGGCCGGTATGATTGGAGATGATGTTGGGCTTGGAAAGACGGGGATGACACTGGCTGTTATCGTACTTCGTCATCAAATGCACACGGCTGCGCGAGAAGTATCTCTCGAATGGGCACAAAGAAAAGTAATAGAGAAACAAGCGAATACGAGTGACCCCGTTCCTCAATTCAATCACCTTCCCAACCAAACAGGCGTACAAACGCCTATCACGACTTGCCCCAGCCAGGCACAATCCAGATTTCGTTTCATATGCCCTTGTGTACCGGGATCGGTGGCCTTCCGGTTTACAAGGCAAACGATGTCGGCGCCTAGTATAATTATTGCTCCTGCAGATTTGCTTGATCAGGTACGTGATATCGAGAACCCCTTACACCCATGTCCTTATTTGTGAAAATGATTAATATCTGACTGTTATTTTAGTGGCTAAAAGAAGTCGATAAGTGGGTTGACTCCTCGGATGGAAGCGTCGCTGCGGATATGATATTTACTGTCGCCCACCGGGATTGGGATCGTAAGCCTCACTCACACAATGATGCGGCTGTACGTATGACGCGGGGCGAGCTGCATGATAGGAAAATACGGCCTGGCAGGCAGGATGTGCAATCCCGATATGTTATACTTGCAAGCCCGCTCGGCACGGTGAAACTGCTTGCACCGTATAAAATAGAGATAGAAGACCCAAACAGAAGAAGACCTGCGACAACATATGAACTGGGGGTCGGGTATGTGTTCATGGACGAGGTACACAAGTATCATGGGAGCAAGAATAGCACGACAGACCCTTTTAGGGCTCTAGCGACGCTTCGGAACACTTGTTTTAGAGTTCCTGTTGCTATTGGTTTATCGGCTTCGATGCTGGGCGGCGGTCCGCATTACTGGCGACCATTTGTCGAGCATATTCTCCATGCACAGGTGCCGGGGCAGCAGCTCATACCAAAAATCGAAAAGATCGACGACTTGGACCAATATGTGAGTGCTTGGGGGTATTTCGTCAATCATGATCCCGAAGACAACAATACAAGGTACATGGGGCTCTTAGAATTCTTAAGAGGATTCATACCTCTCGCATTGCTTTGTCGAAATAAAGGCCAAAGATTTAGAGAGGTCCTAATCGGAAATCCTCCCGTGCCTATTTATTGGGAGATATGCGATATGTTTGACGACGAGGTCCGACATTCCCATCGAAGGTTGGCCGCTACAGTGCGATGTAAGTTTCCTCGGTGTTTAATATTTTATTAGTTTTGGCTGTACTGACTCTTAACTTTTTACCCCTTTGTAGCCTGGATAGATGAGGAGTATACGAAGAGAAAAGCAACGTGGGAAAGTGATGGGAAAAGAGACCCAGAACCGCAAAAGGAGTCAATCCAAGCAGAATTACTGGGCACTGTAGTTTCTGCTGGACCTACAATTCATGCTTACGAAGTGATCCTACGTTCTTCGGCATTACCAGCACTCGCAAAACTCATCGATCACGAGGAACTCCCGTACGAAAAGATCTTAAAGGACGAGGTTATGAAATATTCGAAGGATATAACGAATGCTCTCGAGCGGGGATTGTCTAGTGGAACGGCGAATAACGATATAGAGGAGACCGTAAAATCTATATTGCGGCGATCAGACTACTGGGATAAGCGAGAGGAATTGGAAAGGACGTCTCCGAAGTTTCATAAAATATGTGACTACATTGACCATATGATAGAGCTGAGGACAAACATCTGGGATGATAGTACCGGATTTCCGGACCCGGGACCCGAGCCGGAGGATGGCAGTCGGGTTCGCCATATGTTAATCTTTGCTGAGTCCCAGATTGCGGCCTTCTTATTATTTATGCTGCTTTATCAGAGGTACGGTTCGAAGATTGATTGGATTTATGCCCACGCCGGAATACCACCTGGCAGACGTGCCCCAATGCTCGGACGGATAAATCAGCCGTGTACCGCTCAAAGTCGGAACAAGATATTAGTATCTACCTGCCGCTTGTCAGGAAAGGGCCATAATTTGCAAAGAGCAAATTATTGTATCATTACCGAATATCCTCAAACTAGAGATGAGCAGAGGCAAGCCGCCGGCCGTATTGATAGGACAGGTCAGACCATGAATCCTGTTGTTGTTCAATTGCTAGACAATGAAAACTTGGCCGAGACGGTTCGATACCGGCGAAGTCGCTTAAGGGCACAACTGGCGGATGATAGCATAAGGGAAAGCGAAAGGGTCGACATCAACGACTTCTGCGAACCGCAAAGAGAACTTGTTATCCAGCGCTAACCTTAATATTAATATTACGTGTTATTATATATAGCTCCTTCTTTTTTACTAGAGGTTTATAATCTGGATTAATATATCAAATGGTTTGTTCAATTTATTTATATAGCTACCTCCTATGTTAAGATCCTATTTTGAAGAGGTACTTTGTAATATATTTCCATGTTCACCAGACTTCTAGATACCCAAATTCTTACTTCTTAATATATCTGGAGCCCCATTCTCAAAGAGCAGCAAACTCCATTATCTTGATGCTAGATTTTCATGATAATATAGACACTAGCCAGACCCCTCGTCTCGACACAAGTGATGCTTTACCCATTTAGTGTCCATTGACCCCATTCGTGCCATTGGCCCCATTAGTAGCACAACAGCCTCCTGAACTGTTACCTCCGTTAGTAAACGCGAGCTTGCTCATTCCGTCTGTCGCATTGACAATCCCCGCGCCGTTCGCAGCTACTTGGCTGGGGGTACTGGAGTAGCTAGGCGGGACGTCCATGACGGGGTTATTAGAGAAGAAATTGCGCGGACGCAGGAGCAATGTGATGGGCTCAACCGGCATCACAGGGAAGTCTTCCGGAGCGGGGATGTGTGTGACTCCGAAGGTGTGCCATAGCACCACGTTTGTGTCCTCGATGGATTCCGTGCCATCCCCAATCCACTCCGGCAAACCAATTGACGGCTCTCCCGATGTCTGGGGAACGTGGCGCCCTGCCGGCCACAGCTGGTCGTCTCGATCTACAGGATTGATTCTTAGTTAGAAGGCCCGTTTGATGAATGGAGAGGGAGAAAAGGGGGTAGGTGGTCTACTTACACTTCGTAACATGGACCGAGTGTCTGGCGAACCCGGCCCTCTTCCAGACTAGAGAGCCCTCCTTCGGTAGAAGCCTAGCGACTTCTCGGCTGACGAGCTTGTAGCTCACTGGCTTTTTACTATAGGGATGTAATTTGCCTGTGTTGCAAATGTCCCATGTGCGGCTCGTAGCGCCGTCGTAGTCTGTTGCTGCTTTGCCAGTCGTGTCCAGCTTTGTTCGCTTAGCGTAAAATGCGTTGCCATAATAATTCTCTGGGCTGCCGACTGGCGCGTCAGATGGGACTGCATCTGCCATGAAGACTGTGTTCTTAGGCCCGTCTACGTTGGCATCAATCCGTAGGCAGAACAAGTGTTGGTGATTATGCGCATTGACACCTTTGGTTACTGTTAGCTACTAATATAGATCTCAAGAGTTTGATATAGAGAAGTCGATATTTGATAACTTGCCTGGATATACTTGAGTTCCCCAGCCCTTAGTATCCTCATCAGGGCCCATGGCGTAAGTATTCAGGATGCCCGTGAGCTTGATCTCCGGTTGGATAGTACCATCTTGCTAAAGTTGAAGTCAGTAGTATGAACAATGCAAAATCACACTTGAATTCTCACATGGAAGATCCACTGCTTCAGGTTAGTATTTAATTGCCATCTGTATTTCTAATAGAAACTGACCTGTATGGCATATTCATAATTGGCAGCAGTAAAAATCTGCTGAACGATGAGTTTCCGCGCTCGGGTGACGATGACCGATTCGTCCCTAAAGTCGGTATGTTTGAATAATATGCCGTCGTCCTCCTCGTGAATGCAAATTGCATTCTTGATGGTGCGAAGGCTGCCGGATCTTGTAGGGAAATGTGCATCTAGGTAATGAATGGAACCCTTGCAGTCACACCCCAGCGTAAGACTGTTGGTCATGTACCCAGCGCCATACTCTCCAAGGTCAAAAGCATGCTTCCGCTGATGAGGATGCTCAGGGTTCCCACTGAGTTTATGATTAGCAAGTTTCCCATGAATCGATCCAAGTTACTCACTAAGGTACCACCATCTCTGCTAGGGAGAGTCGGTAAAATATTGGGCGTACGGTTCCCTTGTCGTTGTAAGTGATGTTATTGAGGATGATACCCTCCCGATAGTTGAAACCGATATGGAAGTTCCAGTTCTGCCACTCTAACTCGCGCCCTTTCATTTTGAACGAAACTCCTTCAGGTTGAGTTATGTTGATGGGTTTCAAGTCGTTACGGTATCCTCCCGCCTTTTCAATTGCAGCAGGATGGTAATTTATTGGCGCAGCCTTACTCAGTGGCCGCCGTACCTTGGGAATATCAATAGCAATGATTTCTTGCTTCTCCGCGTCAAATATGGGACAGAAATCTAGAGGGTATTGGTACTGGCAGTCGTCAACATTGGGCCTGTAGTACATCAGTGCTTGCTGGAGTCGAATCTTGTTGCCGTGCCTCTCGTCGTAACCAATCGTCCATGGGTCGCAATAGACCTTGTGCATCTCTTCCTTTGGAATTCCACTGATTTCACATTGCTCAATAACTTTAGGGTCCTTCCGGCAAATGTGCTCAACAAGAACTAGCTCTTCCATAGTTATCTAGACACCATTGTGAGCAATACCCCTATTCATTCGACACACCAAGACTTACTATAGGCTGCAATCCATCCAGCAATTCCCACTTAGTGATCTTGCCAACCGCGATATCAACCAACCCATCATAAACCTTGCCACCGGGGGCGATTACGACGATATCAGCAATCCTGGGCGGTGGAGGAGCGTCGGCTGAATTTTCTAGCCATTTTATCATCTCCGCCTTTCGCGGCTCATGCAGTGAGACAACATTGAAGAACACATCTCCGTGAGCCTTTTTTACAACGCCAATAGCTGTCTGGATTTCATCTAGACTCAAAGGATCGAAGGGGTGCGGAACCGTGTCGGAAATTGTAGAACCCATTGCGACTATGGTATGAGGCGTAAACTACAATAGGAAAATATTGAAAAGAAACCCTCGCGGGGATGGCACAAACTTAAGTATATCACACGCAAACACATCTTGATAGTGATAATTCTTATACCCCTAACTCTCTAGTAGTCTATAATACGAATGATGCAGTGACACACATGTGATGTATGTATCTAAGACCAATTACCAATAGTATTATCCCAGCACTACCTGATAAGAGCTCCGCTCGCCGCCTTGTCGTGCTTCAGTATCAGAAACTCTGGGCTCAGCTCTGCAGCACTTGCCCCTCTATCATCTGATAAGTATACTTAGTAGGGCGATGGGCGATGGGCGATGATAGGAAGATCTCGGGGTTCCCCTCTTCATGCACGTATAGGCCAGGGACTAGACTAGTTGCGGGGGGAATAGCCGCATATACTTCCCAAAAGCGGTATGGGCTTAAAATTAACGGCTCTGGATGGTTAGCAATATGCTTGCTAGTAATGCCAACATAGATAAGATATCAGCCATAATAAGTCAAAGACCCTTAGATATCTTTATATTCCGATACCGGGTTTTAGCAGCCATGGACCCTATCTATTGCATCTTCCCGAATGCCAGGAGGAAGATCCCGATTCCCGAGTCTTGATATTCAGCGGTTATAAAACATTTCATGAATGAGCACTGATGTTTAGCCAAGTCTCCAGCGCCATCAAGTCAGTCCCCTTTTGGGCCGATCATAAAAACGCTACTGCACCTTTGGCAGCCTCATTGCTGCTTTAAACAAGCCCTTTTATTTGATATCTTTATCCAATACTAATACTTTTAAAGTTACCATAGTGCTAATAATATGCTGTCATTAAGTGAGACTATAAAAATCTGGTTTATGGCAAATGAAAAATATTTAATTTAAACGGTTTAAAAGGATTAATATAGTTTTTTTTAAATAACGACGTTTTTATGTTTGATTATTTTTAATTATAAAAAATAATAGTCGATAAAAATAAAATAACTTTTAGTTTTTTTTTATAAATACTTAATATACATTATTTTAAGTTTTAACGTTAATAGTTATTTTAGTTAACGGTTATTAACTTTACCATAACGGAAAAAAAGGGTTTAAAAAAATGATTTTAAAATTAAAATGGTTTTATACGGCGTAACGTTTTTAGGTTTTAAAGGCTTTAATTGGTTAAAATTTAAATATAATAAGTTTAAGTTTTATTTTTAAAATTTTATTTTATAAAAACCGTTTTATAACCGTAAAACCATTCCATTTTATATAATCGTTTTTTTTTTAAAAACGATTGTTTAACTTTTAACTTAAAAAAAAAAAAAATTTTATAAAAATTTCGAAAAAAAAAAAAAATTTTTATAAAAATTTTTTAAATTTTTCCAAGTTAAAATTTTACTTTTTCCGAAATAAAAGTTATAAAAGTTAAAATTAAATAAATTATATTTTAAAATAATTCGATAAAATTAACCACCTCGTCCCATTAACTTAAACGTTAAAACTTTAAACTTTATAATTAATTATAAAGTTTATGGTTACACAAACGCAAGAGTTATAGGTTTAAAAACCAGTTTTTTTAATTTTCGACTTTTTTTTCGACTTTTTCGACCTTTGCCCCACTTTTTTACGTGAAAGTCACGTGAATAGTAAAATCGTTTTATTTTACGAAATTATTCCGCATTTTAAAATCATTTCACGATGTTAAAATGTATTAAGTTAATTCCGTTGTTTCCATTATATAAAATAATTTTTATACATGGAATAGTTTTATATTTTTGGAATGGTTTTTTATACCTTTAAACCTCCGTTATAATAGTTATTAACAGTAGTAAAAAAAAAGGAAATGCGGTTAAACATAAGTAATCTTTCATTTATTATTACTTTTAACCATTACCGAGGTATTTACATATATAATAAACGATTCGTTAACATTTTAACTTGGTTTGGTTTACGAATTAAAAAAACATCATCGACACCATTAACAGTTTCTGGTATTATTTCGAAGGTTTTTACATATAAAAAGTCAAATAATATAGTAATAATATAAAGAAAAACAATGTACGAAGCTTTTTTTAAGTATATAACATTATATTACGTAATTATTGTGTTTATTTTTTAAACTTTTTCGTTATACGTAATTAATATATATAATGTTAATATATTAAGTTTTTAAAATAAATAAAAAAAAATAAAAATACCATATAAAAAAACCGGAATTAAATATATTTTTACTTTATTTAAACGTGGTTAAAGTAGTATTTCCTAAACGTTTTAAAGTAATTAATAACGAAACGAAATTAATGTGTTTACTAATAGCTCCGTTTTAATGAAGCGTTTGCCCAATTAAGATATTGTTTTACGGAGTTTAAACGTATAAAAGCATAATTTTAAGGTTATTTCCAAATTAATGGTTTATAATTGTGTCATAATAAGCCTATAGTTTCATTTTACAACTTTATTTTTTTTACACATTTATGCATCATCGCTACAAACTCCGGCTGACCCCTGACTAACCTTACCTATTTCCTAAATGTTGCAGCTGACTCATCAGATGACAAATCACTAGGTTAGGGATCGGATCTTACAGCTAAAGAGCTAACGTGGCTGTAGTTAGTTCCACCTTTTTCTTCAATACAAAGTTGTTATTGTTAGTTGGAAGAAAAAGCAATACTGAGATCTAAGTTGTCTAACCTAAAGGCTTTTAGCCCAGAACAAAGCGATCTTACGATCCATTATCAAGACACTTAATTAATACAATATGGGAGAGAACAATGAATTTAGGGATTCAGATTCCCGGCGCGCGGAAGCACCAGAGTACATCGCGGTAAGACTCATCCATAACTCTTCTTCAGCCTCCTCGAGTGCCTACCTAAAACATTACATATGTGAACCAGGCCCAATGCCAACTGCTAAGTCGTAGGCCCGTCGCGAGAGGGGTAAATTGGCCCAGCGAGCATTTAGACAAAGGCAAATCGACACAATCCGGAGTCTAGAAGAAGAGAACCGCAAACTTCGCAGGGCCATTTCGGCAATAAGCGACGCGGCGGATCGTAATGACGCCACCATATCGCAAGCAATCACCGAGGCCCGTAAGGTCGCCGGCATTGCAGCCCCCGAGGTTAAGCGCGAATTACCCGCGCCAGCGATCCCGGATTTGAATAGCTCGAGCTGGTCGAGTATCACTCCCATTGAAGCTACAACGATTGCAGCTCCTGCGCCATCTCAGGAAAGCAGTGGTCTTGATGATTTCTCATTGGCATCATTTGAGATTAGTGATCAAGCTAATAGCTGGTCACAATTCTTGTCAATGACGAGTTCCGATGCATATGATTTAACGACAAATCTAGACAATTTTGACGGTGGCTTGGACATGTCGATATCAAATCCAGATTACCTCGGGGGGCAAAAAGCCTCCACGGGGGTTTCAACCACATTCGAACCAGATAGAGCCATCCACATCGCGGATCCCCCACCAGATATTGTTCCTTACATGGGTGACAAGGCTTACAGTCTAGCTGGCCAAATTTACTGGGCAGCGTTAGCTTTCGGTTTCCAAGCGCTACGAGCCATAATCTCCTCGACGACGCCTCCACCGGTAGCCGTGGACATTGTTACGCAGCAGTGGTCTTTCACGTCGAAGCGTCTGGCCCTTCCGCAGATAATGCGCTTGATGCATGCACGACTTACTTTTCGACGCTATGGATACTTCCACCTCGCTGGCGCTAAGCATACCGAGGAAATAAAGGTAACCCGAATTCTACGTCCGTTCTTGAGTTATGTTCGTTTGTGAGTACTAGGATTGACACTTAGCACAGAGCTTCTTAGACCCAAACCTAGTAGAACGTCTGAGTGTCGCACTAGGCGACGAGGTCAAGAAGGCGGGCTTTAGTAAAGACGACTTCCTGTCGCCGCTAGATTTCGAGAAAGAGTTGCGGGAACGTTTTCGTGACGATTACCCCATATTTGAGGCCGCACTCAGAGGTCAGGCGTTCGACCAGGAGCATGTTGCGTGCATGCGGAAATTGATACAACTTATGTCGCGCCAGGCTATCTGCTTTGGAGATGGCCCAAGATGGAGGCCGGAGTCCGTCGACACATTAGTAGATGGCTGGACAATGAGTACAAGACCATTTATGGTACACTGACTTCTCAAGCAAAAAGTCTTAGAGGATTATTATGGATGAGCTCGTCGTGACATTGACACTCTTCGTTTCAGATGTTTACCGAAATGAGCGAGCGATCTTTTCCAAGCACAGTAAACGGTGTCTTGGATAGTTAATGTGTACCTATATAACTAAGACCTCCTTCATCCATACCAGCAATAACTTAAGTCAATATACAATATATCAGAAGTTTACTACTTGTATCATTATTTGTATCATTTAAATCGATTTTGTTACCTATGCCAATAGTTTCTAAAATATTTAAAACATTACTACCGATAATTCATTGAACTCCCAATATCTTTTAATTTATGAACGGAGGTAATAATCACTTGATCATGAATAACTGGTATTGGTGAGTTGGCTAATCGGGCATGTTTTACCGAAGTCTCGAAAAGGAAAAGGGGGTAAAGTAAAAGGGGTAAAACACGGCCATTTTTAGACGTCTAAGACATACCTTTGACTTTCACATTGAGGTACGTAGGCGATAGGGGGGAATTCCATAATTGGGAAGACAATAGGCCACCCAAGGGGACGCCAAGGTGATCAATTGTGTTACCGTGGAAGGCCGTCGCACTACTGGGACCTAATGGCACCACAGAGAAGTTAACTACAGCTTTGTAATATGAGCCAGGGTCTTTAGGGAATGTGAGTTCCTTGATAATGACGAACAGTTGACAAGTCTATGCAGGTTGATAGTAGCGATTTTTGGGTCGAGTCGAATCAGCAACTGGTCTCATCTGAAAATGAGTGTCTCCCGTTAGGATCGGGATCCAGAGTTTCATCCCCAATTATGAATGTGCAATAGAAAAAAAATCGAAAGAAAAGAGTAATATACCGAAGCGAAGTAAAAAATGAGGCTTAGTTGATGTCACAAGAGAACTCCTATTGTTTCGAAGCCCCAACTGTCGTTTGTTAGAGATTTCGTCGGTCTTTAAAAAGTTGCTATTTCCAACCATTATCCCAAAATTGATCGGTAGATGGCGGCAGCTGAGTCCGGTAATCTCGTGCCTACATATCCTACATTTGGGTCGTCCATAAATATTAACCACTCCGTATGCCAATCGGTTGGGTCAGTTGTTACTTGGTAACTCGATCTTTGAAATTCTGGATCAATACCGGAAATCCTAGCCTCCTCAGTCAGCTTGAAGTGGCGGTTCAGACGGTCTTCTTCCCAAAACGCAAGACCCATCCAGTTATGAGGATCCTCTTTGATCAAAGCTGCGATTCGATCTTTGTTTTGCTTTTCATCAGGGTCGAAGTAAGTTCGACATAACCATGACGGGCCATTGGTCCTATCAGGGGCACCCCTCCAGGATACCATACTTGTAGGAACCATGGTGGGGATCCGGATGCTGTCTAAACCTTGGTAGTCGCTAAAACAGTGACTTAAAGGCGCTGTAAAAAATGAGTTCCCAGTTGGGTCGTAGACTATGCATCGGGCACAGTACCGTTCGATCGCACCGAAGTCATTATATTCATACGGTGGGACCATATCATCAGAGACCTCCCGTATTAACGATTCCAATCCCTTGCTCATAATATATTCGAGTGTTTCTCCACCAGGTTCTACATTATGCCCAGGATGCAGGGGTAAGGAGATGCGGCAGGGTATCCCGTAAAGATGCCAATTCCAATCTAGGTAACACTCGATCATTCCGTATATAGCATCTAATTCTGTCAGGAGAAAAGGCTGTAATGACTGAAGGAATAACATTTGCTCAGAAACTCTAACGTTGTGCTGTTTACCGTTTCTACAGGGATTAGAGCAATGAAAAAGTGTACAATAGAGTTCAAATAGGAGGAGAGCCCGGCGAATGCGGTACGACTCAACAGCTGAGAAGGAATGCTCATCCTGGCTATCTTTCCCGTGTACTATGACCATGTCCTGGGTTCTGAGGAAGCTCTCGAAACTTTGGGGATCTTGAGATGGGTACGACCTGGAGAAGTTGTAGTGAAGTCGGCCTACCCAGCTTTCAACGCTTTGAAGTAAGAGCTGGATACGGCTCAAGCTCTCAAGAGTGCGAGGAATAGTTGGAAGCATAGCATCGTCACTTCGCTTGGAAAATTCTTTAATCCAGTTAGCGTACGTCCGTGGGCCATTCTTCGAATTCGCGAAGGGGGGCTTAGGCGAGGCTTTAAGAGAAACGATCCGATGGACAAGATGACGGATCTCTAAGTTATAAGGCATATTAGGACATTTCTCGAATATTAATCTGACAAATGAATGGAATTCCTGGTCAATCACCTCCATAAACTGTGGATTTCCCAAGAGCACTGTATGTAACTCTTTTACACTCAATTGACCGAGAATCATGACCTGAATTTCGACGGGACTGTCGAAAATCAGTCGTAGCAAGTTTTGATCCATATTACGAATAGTTGGAGTTTTGCTTATAAAAAGGAGGGTTTGTATATCGAAGTGCTCCCTGATGATGTACTTGCTTGTTAATGGAGGTGCAGTCTTAGCTTTATAGTCCGGCTCCGTCGAGGGTCATAGAGTTCAGTATTAAACGAGAATCAATTTAATAATTCTGCTCAAATCGCCTCTCGCAAATTTATGGTTCAAGCGCGCCAATAATATTAGGATTTCTAGTTGCTGCCAGATAACAATCTTCTCAAATACTCAAAGGTAGGCGGAATCATTCCAGCAGGACAGGCGTAATAATAAGGGAAGGACAATACTATATGTATATTCATCGCTGAATCTTATGCTATATGGACGGCCAGCGTTGTCAAAGAGCTTGTCCAGACTTGATCTGAATAATAATGAAGTGGATCTTATTAGTGGTTGGTCAATGGGTGATGTACCTAGGAAGATAATCAAGTTGTTATAGGACTAAATGAATTTGAAACCAGGTCTATGAAAGCCTAAGAAACATTACATGTTGCTAAGGCTTTAATAAAAATATACTATCCACAGATACGTCGAAACAATAGGGAGGGCGTGACTACAGGGAATTACATGCGGGCAGATAACCTCGGATGAAGTTGGCGCGGTAGATGGCGATTGTGACCTATAGACCTACGAAACCTGAGAAACGATGATTTTACTAGCTGTTTCTAACGTCCTAGCCGAAGCAGATATAGTATCCGATAATTTGTATATTGGACGTGTTGTAATTCTGGAGTTGTAAACGGTGATCTGAAGTTGTTAGTTGTTAGTTGTTTAGCACTGTCTAATGCTAACATGCCGCTTTGACCAGCTGCGATTACATCCTTGGGGGTGTCTTGATCTCTAGGTATCTAGCCCTGTAAATGATTCTCTTCTTCTAGTAGAGTAAAGAAATTATTCAAGTTCAATAAGGAATTTAATTAAACTAAATATCGTATTTACATATAGCAAAGAACTAACTGCGCTACCCGTCCGCGCAAGCGCATACGGGAGGTTCTTTTTGGTATTGTTAACGCAACACCTATTCGATTTACTTTTTTAACCTTCCCGCAACTTTTAGACTTTATATCCTTTATATCCACAATGGCGTTTCGCGGCTAATTTAAGTGGGTATTATTATTTGTAATATAATAAATTCTTGAATTTTGTGTTATGTTTAAGTTTTATTTTTTACCATGCGTTTTTTTTATTTTTTTTAACCGCATTTTAAAAAGATTTAAAATTTTAAATAATTGTAAAATAATAATATTAACGGGAATTGTAAATAAATTTAAAATTAAAGGCTTAGTAATGTAAATTAATTGTTATTTTAATTATATATTGTAATTTCTTGTTTATTAGCATTTTTATTAAAATTATTATGTAGTTTTTAAATTTAATAATAATTTTAAAATAAATATTTAAAGTTTAATAATTTACTGTTAAATTTAAAGTTAATATAGTTATATTATTTTTTATATAAAATTATATTATTTTTGTAAAATTTTAGTATTTTATGTCGGAAAATTCGGATAAGTTTTTATGTATGTATATAATAGTTTTAATTATTTAAGTTAATTAATAATAAATTTTATTTTATTTCTTTTATATCTTTAAGTAAATATATAATTAATATTTAATTAATAATTTAATAAATTTTAATAATTTGTATTTTTTTTAGTTTTAAAAACTAGTTTTGGTTAAATTTGTATAAAACGTATTAAATTGTAAATTAACGACGTGTTTAATAATATATTCGGCCGTGTATTTAGTTGTGTATTTAATTATATATTTAACAATGTATTTGGTTATGTATGGTTGTGTATTTAACGGTTTTATTAGAATTTTTATTATTTTGGAATTTGTGGATTTTTGGTTTTTAAAAAAGTTATGTCGATTTTTTTTTTAAACGGGTATATTATTTATTTAAAATTATGTTATAAATTATAACTTATTAATTTTAAAGTTTTTTCTGTTAATAATAACGTATAATTTTTGTTAATAATAATAAAAAAAACTGTTTAAAAATTTGTTTAAACGCGGTTATTTATTAAATTTTAAGTTTTACATTATTAATTTATTAAATTAAATATTTAATTTAAATAAATTAAAAAGTTTTAAAATAAAAATAATAGTTATATTTATAATAATATAAATAATTGTAATTTTCTAAAATTTTATAATTTTATATAGTTTAAACGATTTATTTAATTAATATTTTATTAATATTTAACTTTTATTTAACCTTTATTTTATTACTTTTAAATTTTTTAATTTATTATAAATTAATATAATATTTTATATATTTATTTTTTTTTTTTAACTTATTATAAATTTATAAAAAGGTTTAAATATTTAAAAAATTAACTGTTTTTTTTTTTCTATTATTTATAAATTTAATAAAGTTATTTTAAGTTAATTTATTAATTTATTAACAATTGTTTATTTTAAAAATCTTAAATTTTAAAGGTTAAATATTATTAATATAATTTTAATTCCGAAAAAAAGTTATGGCTTTACGATTTTTTTTTATTTTTAAATTTTTATTTAAAAAGTTTATATTAAATTAAAATTATTATTTTAAGTTTAAAATAAAGAAAATAAAAAAGCTTTTATTTTGTTTAAATTTTTATTAAATTATAAGAAATTAATAATTAATAATAAAGAATTTTTAAATTTAAAATTTTTAAAAATATTATTATAATTATTTATTTTTATTTTAATATATTTTAAACTTTTAAAATGGTAAAAAAAGTTTTTTAATTTATTTGGTATAATTTAAGTTAATATATTGTTTATAATATTAGTTAAAAAATGGCATTAATTTTAATTTTAAATTTGTTTTATTTATTATATTTAATTTAAAAATAAAAAGTAGTTAAATTTTATTATTAAACTTTTTTTCCGTTATTAATATTATTTAAAAAAATATTATAAATTAAAGGTAAGTAAAAATCTTTTTAAGTATAAAAGAAAAATTATATAGTAAATAATAAGTTATAAAACGCGCCTTTTTATTTATATATTATTTATTAATATAATTTATATATGGGGTAATAATTTAAATCATTTTTATAATAATTAAAAAAATATAGATTATATTAAAATATTAAATAGTTTTTACGTTTAAATTTAAACTTAAATTTAGAATTAATAGATTTTAAAATAAATTAAAAAATTATTAAATAATAAAAAAGGTAATTTGTTAATTTATATAATTTTTTAAAATTATAAATTTTAATATATTAAAATTTAAAATATTAAAAATATTTAAAATAATATTAAAAAATAAAATTTTAATAATTTTCCTGTTATAATATTTTTTAATATATTTAATTTAAATGTTAATAAATTGGTTTAATTTACTGCAGTTTAATATTAATTTAACGAAAAAGATTAAGTTAAAGTTTATTATTATTAATTTATTAAAAATATATAAAATAAAATAACTTTTATAAGTTTTATTTGGTTTTGGAAATTATTTTTAATTACTTTAATTTATTATAAAATTTTGGTTATTATAAATTCTATTTATAATATAATGTAATTTAAATAAAGTTAATATTTTTTTATTATTATAATTTATAATAAATATGGATTTTAAATTTTATATATTTTTTATTATTTTTAAAATTAAAATGTAATAATAATTAATACGGTTTTTAATGTAATTATTAAGTGGTTTAGCGGTTTTAAATAAGGTTAATTTTTTAAATATATAATAATAAATAATAATTTTATAAAATAAAAAATAGTTTATAAAAATTTTTTATATTTAATGTTAAAATTATTAAAAAAATAAAAAGTTTATATAATTAATTATAAATTTTATATATGTTATATTAAAAAATTCTTATTTAAACGTATTAAAATTTATAGTTTATTAATAATAATATATATATATATATTAATAGCGTTATATAACCAGAAAATTAAAAAAAGTTATATAAAATTTATTGTTTAAATAATTAAAATTTGCAAAAATTCTGGTTTTAAATTTAACGCTTATTATATAAAGTATAAATATGCTTTAAGATTTTAAATATAAGTTTATTATATTTAAGCTAATATTTTTTTATTTTTTTAATATTTTATAATAAATTTTATAAAAGATTAGTATAAAAAGTTAAAGTTAAACGGCATAAAATAACAAATAGTTTTTATTAAAATATTTTTTGCAAAAATTATTATAATTTAGTATATAAAAAAAGATTTGTTAATTAAAATTAAAATAATTAATAATAAAATAAGTAAAAACTAGTTATTTTTTAGCAATGGTTTTTTTAATTAAAGTTTTAAAAGTTTATTTTTTAATGTATAAAATATAATAAATAAATAGTTTCGAAAGGTTAAAAAGATATAAAATAACGGAAATAAAATTAAAATTGTTTTATGTAAAAAAATTATTATTTTAAAGTATAAAGATTTTATGAAAAAGGATTTTAAAAATAACAAGGAGTTATAATTTATTGTTTTTAAGTTAAAAAAGTTTTTATTTACCGATATTTTTTTTTGCCTTTATTTTTGGTAAAGAAAGTGGCAGTTATTTTATAAGTATATATTTTTATATTAATTATTTTACGGTTTTTTAATTAAAGAATATTTTAATTAATTTGTTTATTTATAGAAAAAAAATAAATTTAAGATTTATAATAAATTTTAATATTTTTTTATAAGTAAAAAAATGGATAAAATAATTGGTATATTTTTTAAATTAAAAGTTAATTTTTTAAATATAATTAAAAGTTTTTAAATAAAGATTTATAATATTTACGATATTTTTTAATATATTTTAATGTTTTTTATTAAATATGTTAAAAAAATAAACGTTTTAAAATATATAATAAAATTTATATTAAAATTAATTTAATAGTTTAAAGTTTAATTAAAAAAATAAAATAAAATAATTATAAATTTAAAGGTAAAATTAAAAGTAATAATAGTATATTTAAAGGTTAAGTTTAAAAAAAAGTAAATTGTTAATAATTTAACGATAAAACTAAAAAGTAGTTAAATTATTTAAGATTTATTTATTAAAAATTTTTTGGTTATAATATACATATATTTAATTTTTATTTAAATATTAATTATAATAATTATTATTTATATTATTATTAATATTTAATAATATAATAATGTAATAAAATTTTATAATTATATATTTAATTAATTTTAAAAAAATATTATTATTTTTATATTAACGTAATAGGTTTATATAAATTAATATTTTTCTTTTTATTATTTTATTTTTTTTTTATTATTTTTTTATTTTTTTAATTATATATTTTTATTATTTAACTTTTTATTTTTTTTATTATTATTTATTAATTTAATTATTTATTTATTTTAACGTAATTATTTTTATAAATAATATTATTTTATCTTTAAATGTTAATTTTATTTATCTTTTATTTTATTTATTTATTAATATTTTATTATTATTATTTTTTGCTAATAATTTTAATAAATTTAATTTAGATAATTTTAAGGTAAGTTTTATTTTAAATTTTATTATAATTTTTATTTATATTTTATATTAATAATTTAAGTGATTTTAAAATAGGCTATTTATTTTTTTATTTATTTTTTATTTATAAAAAATATTTTTTGTTATTATTTTAAAGGCGTTTTTTTATTGTTATTTTAAAAGTGTTTTTTTGTTATTACTTTAAAGTAAAACGTTTTTTTATTATTATTTAAATTGGTTAGGTTTAAAAAGTTTTTAAAATAAGTTTTATTTTAATTATTATTTTAATTTTATTACTTTTAAATTAATAATTTTAAAAAGTTTAAAAAATAAACTTATTAATATATTATTTTTTAATATTTAATATATAAAACGCGGAAAAAGTTTTTAAAATTATTTTTATTGCAATTATTTATAATATTTTTAATTTTAATAATAATAATTATATTTAAATATATATTTTTTTTTAAAATATTAACGGCGGTATTATTAATTTTAAAAAAAAGTTAAAAAAAATAATATTATTATTTATTTAATAAAAATTTTAATTTAATAATTATTATATTATATATTAAATAATATAATTATTAAAATAATTATTATATATATATAATTATTATAATATATTTTTAAAAATAAGTTTATTTAATTAAAATAATATATGATTTTTTAATTGGTTAAATTATAGTTTTAGATTAGATTTTTTTATATTTTATATATTTTAATAATTATTTATTATATTATAATGTAATAGTTTATTTTTTTTTATTATTTATTATAATTTTTATATATTATTTTTAATTAATAAAATGGTATTATTTTATTTATTTTATTTTTTTAATTTTTTTTAAATATTAATTGGTAATAAATATAAGAAACTTTTAAAATTTATTAATATTTATTATTTAAAATATTTTAATTTAAATTTATTATTTAATTTAAATATATTTAATAATGGCGGTATTTATTATACGATAATATATTATATTTATTATATTATAATTAAAAATATATAAAAGTTAAATAAAAGAAAAAAAAAAAATAATAAAAAATTTTTTTTATTTTTAATTTAAAGGTTTTAACTTATTATAATATTAAATAATAATATTTTATAAAATAAATAATATTATTTTTATCTTTTTAATTTTAAATATTTTAATTATAAATATATTTTTTTTAATTTTTAATTATTATATTAATTAATATTAATTAAATTATATTTATAAATTACTATTTTATTTTTTTATTTTTTAATTATTAAATTTTTTTTAAAAATTTACTAATATTTTAAGAATTTTTTAAACTGTTAACTTTTTTTATAAATTAAAATAAATATATTTAAAAAAATAAAATAATTATTAAAAAAGTTATTAAAAATAAAAACGTTAAACTTTTTAATATACTACTTTAAAAAAACTCTTTTCTTATTATAATATATTATACCGAAATTTACTAGATTATTAATTATTTAAATAAGTTTAATTTTATTTATATTATTTTTAAAACTTTTAAATTATAGTTTAAAGTAAATTATATACGTAAATATTTATTATTAAATATTATATATAATGATTTTTTAAACGATTTATTTAATATTATATTTTTTTGTATAAATTTTTATTATTTTTTAAATAAAAGTTAATTTATTTTAATTTTAAAATTAAACCTAAAAACTAGATTTATTATTATTTATTTTTATATTTTAATATTATATATATTTTAATTATTTAAAAAATTAAATAAAATTAATTTTAAAATAATTATGTTTTATTATAATTTTAAAGTTTATATTTTTATCGGAAATTTTATTAAATATTTTTTTATTTATTTTATATGGTTTTTTTTTAATAATATTATTATATTACTTTTTTAACTTAAAAATATAAAAAAAACGATATTTTTTATTATAATATTTAAAAAATTAAATAATAGTTAAAAATGTGTTTAAATATACCGGAAATTTAAGGGAAATTTGTTTTTATTAAAGTTTAAAACTTAAAAAAAACAATATAATATTAAACATTTTTTACTTAATATAAGTAATAATATTAATAATATTAATAATATTAAATTTATAAATTTATTTAATTCCGTTTTTTATAATATAATTTTTAATAATATATATAATTAATATAATATTAATAATATATATTATTTAAAAAAACATTTTTAATTTTTAAATTTTAATAATAATAAATATACCAATTATAATTTAAATTTTAATAATAGTTATAATTTTAAATTTATAAAATAACTTACGTTTTATATTTTAACCAATTTAAATAATAATAAAAAAAAGTTTTTAATTAAACTATTTTTTAAATTTTAAAATATTAAAAATAATAATATAAATAATTATAATAAAATAAGTTTAATTAAAAATATATATAACTTTTATAATGTTAAATATTTTAATTTTTAATAAAAATTAAATAATATTATAATTATTAAATATATATTTTTAATAATTTTTATTTTTTTATTTAAATATATTATATAAAAATAACTTTATTAATATATTAAAAATAAACGTATAACGTATATTATAAAAATATATATTAAAAATTTAATTAATTATTTTAAAAATATTTGCGGTTATTTAATTAATAAATAATTACAACATTAATCTTATTTATAAAATTGGTAAGGTAAAGATATATAAAGTATATTACGGAAAAGTTGCAATGTATACCGTGCCACTTATGAACAAGTGCTGCATTAACGGTAGCCGTTCTTTTAAGCCTATGTATTATTTTTTTAAAAAATAAAATTATTTAAAAAAAGCCACGGCCACGGCCACAGCCACGGCTGTGGCCGTGGCTTGCCGGTGACACAATCCTCCGTAACATACGCACGTGATAAACAGTTAAACCTTTTCACAGCCACAAATAAACTCTGGCCTTTGATTGGCTAGCCACACCTCAGCGCACGTCCGATGAATTTTTTATAAAATCAATTGACCTATTATAGTATTGTATAAAAACTTTAATAATTGGTATCGTTAAATAGAGTTCGTTTTGCATGACTTTTTTATTTTATTTACATGTGTTTTAAACCTTATGCGATAGAATGGCAAAGGAAAAAGTCGCCAACTGCGGGGCGATTTTAAGGATCTGATTGGCTGGAAAAATTGTGGCAGTACTAATAAAATATAGGAGAGTTGATGTTAAAGATTGTATGCAAAGAAACCCATTTTCGTTTATAATGCCGTGGAGATTACGTAAGTACTAAGTATCTAGGTACCTTAGGTACCTCTCAGGTGTGGCTTTGCATCAATCTTTGCGGGAGGTCTCCCCCACCTATTTGTTAGCCTCAGTGGAGTTTAGGTAGTTCGGTACCTACATGTACAAGGATGTACCTAATGCAGCTAAAGATGAGCTCCGCTGGTCGCGCGACAAGTGCTGAGCTTCTTCGGCTTCAATTCTTTCAACTTTTATCATTCCAGCGCAATATCTTGCTTCAACGAAAGGACAGATACCCAAACAAGCCTGCCATGAATCATAGTTCTAGCTGCGATTAATAAAGTCCAATTATTCTCCTTAACAGAGCTACGATTAGTGCTCCGGTGCCACTCGAAGCTGGTTTCTACCTACCGGCTTCATACCATGATAACTTCTTAGCCACCTTCAACTGCGATTGATCATACAACACTTCGCCATGTCGACCAGCGCCAACTCGCTGCCCCAGTACCTGGAACAGCTGCCGGGGACTACCTTTAGGAAACTATACCAGCAGCCTTCCACAGCCTTCGCCATTTTTCGGCGCATGCTTCCTCATATGGGTAAGAGCTTCTCAGCAGGCGGCGTGTAAACTTGCTTAGGACGAGGATTATCTAACTTGGAGAAATAGCAAAGACTATAGTAATGGCCATACTATATTCGCCGACCCCCTTTCTTGTATCCGACCTCGATCTATGGATAAAACCCACCGCAATCCGCGAAAAGGACCAAGCCATCGCCATCCTTCGATCGTTACATATAGTTCAACCTCAGTCCTTAGCTCTTACCCAAAATTTTAAGAATAGTCTACGGCTTGCGTTGGAGGGTGGGGGCGATCATAATTCGTTCGGTGTGCCGTCTACACAACCTATTCCCAGCGAGGTTGACCATACGTTCCTGGATAGGTACGCGAGAAAAAAATGGGACGATATACTCCATTACGTCGTTTCGGCTACCGGAATAACCAGCATTCAGACGGGCTCTAGTGGACCTAAGCAGTCAGTCAAGGACCTTCTCTTGGCTGGCCGGCTGGTTGAGCGTAGGACTGGCGAACTTAAGATTACACACATTGGCTTTTCCTTCTTACTACAGGAAGCAAACGCCCAGGTCTGGGCTCTATTACTTCTCTGGCTCGAGGCTATTGAGGTAGCCAATGCCAACGGGAGTAAGTCCGATATGGATGCCGTTGACATGCTATCGTTTTTCTTCATGTTGGCCTCCCTCGAATTTGGGCGTGCATATAGCACTGACGCCCTCACGGAGAGCCGACGCAATATGCTGCCCACTCTCATCGACTTCGGTCTGATCTACATTCCTCAGCACAATACTCACCAATTCTTCCCTACTCGTCTAGCTACGACTCTCACCAGTAACGAAACAGCCCTTCGAAGCGTTAGCGCAGGCTTCTCAGCCGCCGCTAGCGCGACCGGCGACGAGCAAGATAAGTGCACCATTATCCTCGAGACCAATTTCCGGATGTACGCATATGTACACTCGCCGCTACAAATCGCCGTGCTAGCCCTCTTCTCGGACCTCAAGTTCCGCTTCAAGGGTCTCGTATCAGGCCACCTAACACGCAAATCCATTAAAAATGCCGTTAGCCACGGCATCACGGCGGATCAGATTGTCTCGTATCTCTCTACGCACGCGGACGAGCAGATGTATCGGCACGCGGCGACGACCAACAAGCCCGTATTGCCTCCCGTCGTCATCGACCAGATCCGCCTCTGGCAGCTCGACACCGAGCGTATATCTACCCGCGACGGCTACCTCTTCAAGGAATTCGACGAGTACAAGGAGTACAAAGCCGTGGCCGATTTTGCGGACAACATCGGCGTCTGCGCCTGGCGTAACGACAGGAAGGGAATATTCTTCGCCACCAAGGTCGAGCAGATCAAGGACTTCATGAGATCTCGCAGGAAGGCGAACGACGGGGGTAGTTAAAAATTGAGTAATGGAGGGCGAACAGAATTATCTCGCCCTTTTTACTCGGTGCGAAAGTCTGCCCAGTTATTTTATTATTTAAATCTAGCCATCCACATCATCAGGCATAGGAGTTCTACGGTTTATAAGGTGCATTGGGATACGGTGGGAACGATAGGGGCGCATTACACGGTTTACGATATGATTAGACAGGGGTTCACAGGCCTTCATATGTATAAGGCTCTCGCCATGACCGCGATGGATAGAATTCAAAAGCTATTCCCAGCAAAAAATTAGATGTTTCCAGACGAATGGGTTGCACTAGTACTCAGGGTTTATAACTAATGAGCCAGTTCATTATGTATTACTGATCATAACTAGACCAGGGGTGCGAGTCCTTGACACCGGCAATATTATGCAGTCCTAAAGTCCATGAGGTTCGTTTCTCGTAACATATCGTGCACACGTCTAACTAATGCTTCCAGGTATGAATAGTTCCACTTCTGTTTCGTGAAGCTTCCCTCCTAGAATAACCGGAATGAGTTTTAAGTCCTTCTCCGTATGACACATATCCGCCTCCTTTTTTTTCTTTCCTTTTTTCCCTCCCCTTTTCCGGTCCTTTTCATTATAACATAACTGCGTATAGCAAAGTAGAAATAATACAGCCCAAGCTAAACCATTAAGGGCTCTCAACGAATCGAACTTCGCACGGGTCGTGCCGGATCCATAGTATTAATTCGGATATCCTTCTTTCTTTCCCTCCTACTGCGATCCATTACCCTTCTTCTTGCTGCCGCCGGCACTGCTTCCGCTGAAGATGCGGCCGACCCAACCTTTCTTATCCTTGTCCTTGTCCTTGTCCTTGTCGTCCCAGGACGAGCCGGGCGGGAGAAGACCCTTCTTGCCGACGAGACGCGCGTAGTCCTGTTGGAACTCGTGCATGCTGTCGAGGGCAGAGCGGTTCGCGCAGAGCGCTTCTAGGTGGCGGAATACGCGGCGGATGCGGTTGTCTTCGTCTGTCATTTCCGACGCGGCTTGGACGATGGCGACCATCTCGCCCGAGAGGAGTTGGGGAGTCACGCCTGGCATGCAGGCCATGCTGTACGAGGTCGGGAGCGCGGCGTCGGGCGTGGGTGCGGGTGTGGGCTTGGGCTTGGGCTTCGGCGCGGCGGCTTGGGGTTGCTGCTGCTGCTGTCCTGATATGGCGGTCGTGATGATGTTTAGACTTTGCGCCTTTAGGTTCTCGTTGCGCAGCTTGTCTTGCATGGCGACGAAGCGGCCGGTCCAGTAGGATTGGGTCTCGGCGTTGTAGACCATGCGAGGGTTGCGGTGGACGGGTTTGGTCGCGAGGGCGGGTGCGGGTGCGGGCGTGGAGGCTTGGTTGGGCGTCATAATTGCTCCTAGGGAGCTGTCGCCTTCGGTTAGAGAGGCATTGCCGTCGAAGGTGTTAGGAGCCATTATGGGCGATCCTATTTGGCGACGTAAATCGCTGCGACTGTTGCTATTGTTGTTGTTGCTGTTGTTGTTGCTGTTGCTGTTGCTGTTGCTGTTGCTGTTGTTGTTGCTGGATAGCGATGCGCGCGAGAACGAGGATGTCAGGTTGGAAAGCACGTTAAAAGTGCGTGACTTGGGAATGCCGCTCTGCTTTTTGGGCTTGGGGTTTGGCATCGGCATGGGTGGCAGTTGTGGAGGTAATGGATGAATGCGAGATAAATCGATGGAACTAATGCAATCTACACTTGGGAAGGTTTGTTTTGGCAGTTGCTGCACTTGAGGTTGTTGCAAAGGAGGTTGTTGCTGAAAAGGAGGTTGTTGCTGAAAAGGAGGTTTGTCTGGAGTAGGAACCTTCTTCTGCTCCGTATTCTTCTCTGTATTCTTCTCTGTATTCTTCTGCTTTACAGCCTGCAGTATTTGCTCTGGCAACTCCGGGATGGGTTCGGTGTTGGATACGTCAGAAATCACCTTTCGCTTTGCGTTGGGCGGCGTGCGTTTGGGTATCTTCTTAGTACTAGATATTTCCAGACTATCCCTATGTCTTCCTCCAAGGTCGGCTTCTGAGAGATAAGGGTTGATGTTTTCTTCCCTGAAATGCCGAATGACCCCGGCCGTAGGTGCGGTAACAGAAGAAGTGGTTGCTCCGGACGACTCAGGTACCGAGAGAAGTGTTCTTGAAGTTTGTAGCCCACCTTTCTGCTGTGTGTAGGCTGATGGGGGAGGCAGATTGCCAGTTGTCTGCGATTGTCTCAGGGGTCCTGGTGCGTATCTGTCAAAACTACCTCGGGATCCAGATGCAACCATGGGCGAATACGCAGTAGTAGGATGACTGGTCAATGGACCTGGGTGATTGCTAATAGAAGTCTGGGGGGTTGTAGATGCAGTTACAGCTGAATATCCCGTAGTTGGTTGACTGGATGGCGGTCCATTAGTCGTGAAGCCTGCCGACAACTTTCGAGATGATATAGATCCTGAGAAATGGTTCTGATGACCTGTATTAACCGGTGATGAAATACCTGATTGCTGAGTATTCCACGGCGATACTGTTGCTTGACGAGTACGCCCAAGTGCGGCAGCGCTCGTGCTTAGTGGTAACTGGCTCGTTCGACCAGTCCCAAGCCTACCGCCTCTTCCTCTACCTCGTCGGGAGCCGCGTCGACCGGATGATGCTCGACGAACCTCCCCTACAATACACGTATCGGCTCCGGAATTCATTGCTCCGGGAAGTACGTGTCGACGCCGAGCCTCCATAGTAGGATGAAGATCTGGAGATAGCGAAGCCAGAATACCAGTATTCGTTTAACGATCCTATAGAATTGAACAAGTTTTCCGAGGTTGACCAATATGATGAACCGCGTCCAGATGATGATCAGTGCAAAGGTTGTTTTAAAATACAGCTTGCTGAGCGCGACGAGGCAAACCGTAATTACTTCGACGAGGTCACACAGAATAGATAGGGATTCTCCAAGCAAGGCCAAAGTAGTAAGATATTGTATTGGGTGTCCCTGTCTCTGATAATGTTGATCTGCCATGGACAGGTATCTAACCAAGGAACACTTAGGTAGGGACTGGTGGTTGGGTTGTGTTGCTAGAGAAAATCCAAAAGAGAAGCCTGTTGCTCGCGAGATATGGTGTCAGGACATGTAAACGAAACGCATAGCAACCTGAGAGATTGCAATATGATCAGGTTTTAGCTCAAAGGGCTCCGTTTATTTTCGAGATAGACTTGTAAGGAGACACTGACAGGAGTCACCAAGGTGGCTGCAGCTTCTACATCTCGAGTACCTCCTCAAGGTACCCCTTCTTCGATTACATCGTCAACATGTCCATGATGACTCCTTCCTTATTAGAAATATACAGTGTCTGCCAGTTGACGCTTCCATCAATGCCTCACTAGACCAGGTCTGTGACTTGCAAGCCTTCATCAGCCCCTGAATCTATGAACGGGGACACTCAGATCACTCCTACCAATAAGAATATTCAACAACTGTTCTTTAACCATAAATGTCCGTTTGGATATCCCGTAAGGCAGTGTAAGAACGCATCCTGTTATTTTGGTCTTCCATGTGCCATAAAATAAGAAGGATAGGCGGCTCGTAATGTGGTTATTGTTATGAGTGCGAGTTACTGAGAGCATCGTAGAACCTACTAGGACTTGGTAAAAAAAGATACTTCACAGACGAAGATCCGTGCCCTCAATACGTTAAATGCCAATGTAGTTAGTATTATGTAAATACGATAGACTTAATATAACCGTTATGTGTGCTATGCGTGTTATGTGTGAACGGTATGAGAACTTCTTAGGTGTCTTGGTTAGAGAGGATGCTACAGATACAAGTCTGTTAAGAGATGTTGCTATGTGCCAAAGACGTCTAATAATTTTTCATTTTGCTTTCTATATCACCTTATTCTTCTATCTTAAACTTGAACGTCTCATCCCCCTTTCCCCTTTCAATCGGATTCCCGTGAGAATCCCATAACGCCCGCTCTTTATACGTAATATTGCCTTCCCAATCTAAAAGAATAATGGTCTGTCTTTGAGTACCGTAAGCACCCTTCATAAAATATCCATGTGCATCCCTATGCTCTTCCGGCTCGCTTTTATCTTCGATTGCATCAAATGCTGCTTTTGCCCTCCCCTCATCGGCCGCGTCAGCCATGTCTTTCCATCCCTGATCCTCTGCGAAGCTGCGAATGAATACAGACCGCCGGAGGGCATCCATATGCTCTTGAAAACTCATCTTCGGCTCCAAGGGTAGTGTATCATGATCGAGGACTTTGAAGAGCCGGTTGGTAAGCTCTTCTTCGTTCATGTCCTTGTCGACAGCTTCTTGTATCGCCTCCTCCATCAATTTCTTCCCGATCTTGATCTTCTCCCATTGAGCAGGTTCTACATAGACGGCATTGCTTAGGCCATATATATGTCCACGTTCCCCACCTATCCACGGGACCTCGCCGACATGGTCCCATCGATTGGAGATGATCGCGAGCGGCTTAATGCCCTTCTCAGTCCTCTGCTTCAAATCACCGCATACGAGCGAAAACCCTCCGACACCCTTGGCAGCGCGACCTTCTAGCATCGTATGGACGAAGTCGTCTAGGCCAAGTCCAGAGGGGGCACCCAGCCAGGCATTCACTATGGTGCCTCGGCTCCTGACCCCGGCGATGGCGTGATCCGGGTCCGGGTCATCCTCACTCGACTCCCGGTAATTTGTCAGCACGGCGATTCGTCCGGTTTTGGTGACGCCTAGCCATGTCCCTCGCTCCTTACGGTACAAGTCTCGCGCGGACAGTATTTGTTCTCCTGAAGGCTGATGGGTCCACCAGTGCGGCCGGCTAGTAGGTCTTAGGATATATTCATCCCGATTGTCAAGAGCAATAAGTGCATATTTTGGATGGGCCGTCGTGATAAGAACGATGCACATTTTGATGAAAGGTAAACCCCGAGAACTCTTTTATCGTTTACTGGTTGTGTTTCTGATATCTACCTAGGTAAGTAGGTGGTTATGGGCGTAAGTCCGAAATATTTTAATTATAGGTAGAGCGGAATAAAATCAACCACTCGGGGACACAATTATAGACGAAATTGAAGAGAGAGAAAAATTAAATAAAAATTCCCACCGTTGCCACCGTCTCAGCAATGTTTCTGTTAGACCCTGCTTGACCGTCAATCTCCTGACACACGTTCTTTTTCCCTTGTACAGCGCGGCGGTAATTAGAGCTAGACCATTCACGGGATGGACGAGAGTGATCCCAATAGTGGTGCGACACGTCTCATGCGAGATTGAGATTTGGAACGCTGTCAGTCAGGAGTTATGTAGACCGCCTAAAGGCTGCTGGGTTCCTGGGCTTCTGGGCTCTTGGACTCTTGGACTCTTGGACTTCTGGATTTTCTTAGGGGTTTAAAGCTGGCACATGCGATTTCGGCTGCGCGTGTTGGCGTCTATGTACTTGAGACTTGAGATAATACCGAGAGTTACACTAATCATCTAGAAATTCCAGGTGCGGTTCCGTGTCACCGGACTTGTGTGGGGTGATATAATAATAGCTCATTAAAACGGCCATTGCCGAGAACGCTATGTATGTAGAGTGGCTGAGGCTAGTAATTCCCAAGGTTTAGAGAACTGCCACAATTCAATACGTGATATTGAAGATGTGGAGAGTGGCTAATACGGTGAGTCGTGGTTGGCCCCTAGGTACATATGCAGTGTCGGCCCTTGTGTCTTCACCTTTTTGCCCAGGTGGATTCAATCTTACCTACTGGTAGATAATTATCGCTTATTTCACCAATATCATCTTCCCATCTAGCCCTAAGGGATCCTACCAGCTATTGAACATCGATAATAGGGCGAACGATTACCAGAACCAAACGCATCCAACCGGAACTAATTTTGTTATGACTCCGTCCGGGATGATACTGCATAGTGATACCCGGCCAAGCTTACCAAGATTCCAAATCAGATCGGCCTCAATCCATTCACATAATCCCTGTTGCTTATAAGTTATAGCTAGCGTCAACTTAGGTAACTAAACCAAACCGTGACAAGGGCAGCATAGAATGAACCCCTCGGGCCTCAGCAAAGTATCTCTTAATCTCCGACCGACTTCCACTTCGGCTTCGTCAGTCAAGTCCAATCCTTCCCATAATATCACAATATAATCTTAGAGTAACTACGAGTATTCGGCCAAGGGCTATGCAAGTACCTACTCTTATAGCCAAGTTAGATTTACATCCAGACATGTGTATCCGTGTTGGTAGGTAAGGGCCACCAGCAAACGTCTTGCCCCTTCTCCTAAAGATTTACTATTAGGTATCCGGCATATCTATATGTGCATAGGTCCCTAACCTAACCTCAGGTATAATATCTAAGAGTATTACCTCTAAAGAACAGCGTCTTCAGCTTTCTATCTCCCCCTCATCCGATCCTCTCCATCTACCTTTATTCAGCTTACATTAATCTATCCTACAGAATATGTTTATTGTCTTCTCACCTTTATGCTTAGCGATAGTCTCAAGTATCAGAGGCGGATAAACAATGGCTCGTTACTCTACTGTTGGTCGTATGTCTATCGGCAGCCTAGACGATGATCAATTCTATAGTGCACCGTCCAGTCGTATAGCTAGCCGACATGTTAGTCTTATAGCCTCACACAACCTACAAGAGACGGGCCACGGCACAATATCCGCGCAGTCCCCCAACTCATCCTACCAGCCCGGTTGCTCAGCTCCTGTGTCACCCCTAGAACCTCAAATTCCGGGGTTGAATCATACATCGAAGCCGCGAGTGGCAACCCCTTTTGCTATAAACTATCACCATAATCCGAGGCGTCATCATTTCTGCCCGAAGTATATATGTCGTCGTTTCCATAGAACGTTCCATGGCACGTCAGAAAGCATTCCACTACTTCAACCACTGGTGAACGACTCAAATATAGATACTAACGGCTATATGAAGCCTTTGGCATCATCCCCTGGATCCCCTGGATCCCCTACATCAACAGATTGCTGGAGTCCAGTGTACACCGGGGCCCAGACTCCTCGTTCGGAATTAGATGGAACTACGTTCGATAGTCCAATTACCATTAATAGACAGGTAGCAGATACCATTGCTTGCAACATACGAGCCTACTTGTCTAATAGAGGGCATAATAATCGTTCATCTCGAACAGAGAGGCCAGCAAGCATTGACGAGAATCTGCCCCCCCTATCAAGATTGTGTACTGGCCAGGATAGCATTGGGATTGGTCACCCTAAAGTTAACGAATCGGCGACGGAGAGCTATCTAGTTACCACGGAAGATATTGCGGGGATTCTAGATATCGTAATTGCTGGTATCCGCTGTGTTCGCAATGACAGTTCGGTAGCTGAATGTCTTTCGATGTTATTACCTAAAGAACCACTGGCAAAGCCTACACCCAGCATGAACTTTATTGTTCCTGGATCACCTAGCATTGCTTATCCAGCTACGACGATCAGCTCCGTCCGACCTTCCTTCAGCATAGCCAGTTGCTCTGACTACCATGGTCATTGTGTTGACACGGCTAGAACGACGTTTATTTCTCGACAAAGCATAACCGAGGTCACATAGGGATTCGCCCCGGGAAATCTGGTTCGAGAGGCAGTCGTGGAGCCTTACGCGAGCGTCGTTGGGTCTATGGAGGTCTCTCGAAATGTGTCTACGTGCGCCTCGTCATTGATCTCTTCAAACTCGCCGTCTATCAGTGACATGCGAAGGACAAGTGCTAAATTTTATTCCACCATTGAAGAGTCAGCCCGTGCCCAGGAGCCCAAACTTCAAAGTAAAAGGCGATCAGCGTCCGAACCAGTCAGGCCCAGAGGGTCTTTGGGAGATATCAAAATCCCCACCAATCGTTGCCGGGATGGTTCGATGACATGTTTCCCGAAACGTCCCTCGAGATCCTGTACTAACGACTGGTTGACGCCGCTCGGCCTCTGTAGGGAACCCAGTATTCCACAACAGAGAGAAATTTTGCCGGACCTTTACGCTCGTGGTGTAGATGCACATTGCGGGGTTAATGTTTCTAGGCCTCTAGAAATACTCGAGGAATCACCACGTCAAACCCCAGTTCCACCCACCGACCCCCCTTTTCGGGTATCCATACCACAGTGGCCTGGGAAACTGGATGAAAAGCCCGAGAAATTGAGTAGGAAAACGGGACGTGCAGTCGGTGCGTCTTCACACCGCCGAAAGAGCAGCTTTAAGCCCCCAGGAGTTTGGGCATCCAGTACGAACCATGGCCTTTTAGATAAACTGCGCCGCTACAGTTTCATGCCATTGTTAGATCAGACACCAGAGAGCTCTCGCAAGGCACTACCTCTCCCGCGAGCGTGGGACGAACTACCACTGCGAGAAGAAGGAGGTAGGAGGTATTCATCCAAAGCGCTTCTACAAGGACTCCTGGACGGTAAACCGGCTTCGAACAAATCGTCGCGGAAATCATCCCGGTCCGGGGCCCGAAGGCAGAGGAAGAAGACGGGTTCGTCGGCGACGCAGAAAAGGCATAGCGCTGGGCCCGGTCGCGTGTCATGCTCGGAAGATCAGACGCCGCACATATGTGTGGACGAACAGCTGACACCCTTTTCGGGGTCGGAAACGGCATGGTTCGAGTGAAATAGGTTGCTCAGTACGACTAGGCCTGTGGAATAATCGCTTCGCCTTTATAGTCCTATTCGATTAGTTGCATTACGGTTCTTCGAATTTGGCACCTCGTTATACTATTGATTCCAGGATATGAATCTTGTCCGATGCTCAAGTTCGTAGGTAGGTACCGGCAGGTAGATAACTTAACCGATGACCTCATAACGATGCGTGTATAAATACGACCAATGAATCATTTTAACTACTCGTGAGATCAAATCGAGTAAGTTGAATTTCCATTCGCATTCTACGTTCTTAATCGTGGCAGTCCGCTTCATCACGTTGGAGATCTTGCATAAGTGTGCAATAGATGGTATTAAATATCAAAATTCAATTTGTCTTCGTGGCGCAATTATCCAGCGCGTTCCGTATCAGTGTACTTAATAATACAGCCTATCCTCATATATACAATATCGTACACGCCTATTCCCAACATATTACTCCCATGTTTTATTTTTCAGCAGCGTTAACTGCCATGCGTTTTTGTCGCTGTTACGTGTCTGCATCGAAAACCCCTTATTGCTTCCACTGGCCAGCGTTCTCGACGCCCTTGGACACGTCCTCGGCGCCACTCTGGACGCCAGTGCCAACGGAGCTTATGGCGTCGCCGACGGGCTTGCCGGCTGATCCCGTCGCGCTCGTGATGGTGTCGCCGACCCCGCGGGTTGCGGCGCCGACTACGCCGCCTGCTGTTCGGCCTACGCCTCCGGCGACGTTACCGACGGTGCTGGTAACGAACTTGGCGGCGCCGGTTACGCCGGAGTCTTGGTCGGTGGAGTCTTTCTCGGGAGACATGTTTGCGGGGATAGATGTTTCGTTGGTGTGATGTGTGATGTGTGATGTGTGGTGTGTGGTGTGTGGTATTGATGGATGGGTAGATTTGAATTGTGACGATGATGATTTCGAGTAGATGGCTCTTTGGTTATTTTTATTATTATTATTGACAACAGACTTTCTTTTTTAATTCAAGCAATATTGATGCCACATATATATGCGATGATGTCTCCCAAGTCTGACATACGTATGTAAATGCGCACCTAACCCAGACGAAGACGAGGTGTGACGTCACGGCCTCAGCTTGTCTTCATCACCGAAGTCGTCACGGCTACGTAAGGGCCAATCAAGGGGCTTAACACTGGTAGCCTGACCTTAGTAACTTAGGTTATGACGTCACAACAGGATCTCGAATTGGATTCCCTGTCTCTTCTCATGTAAGATGTTTAACAGCCACGTTTTAGCCTCAGGTTAAAATAGTTTATCCTACCTAGTTGATATTTAAGATTCAGTGCTTGCGGGTGATCCGCATAAGTTGATGGATTAACTTAATCTTGCACTTAATCTTGTAAGCTTGCAGATGTTTTGGTACGAACATCTTTTCGGGAAGATCGATTTCTAAGTACTTTAAGCATAATGTAGATAAATGACTGACTGATACGAAACATATGTGCTTAAAACTGTTATGGGAATTTGTTAATATTAGGATAGTTAACTATTTATATGTTGATTTAATTTATGGGACTAGAGACTCTTGTATTAAGCATAACTCCCATATTTACTATAAGTTGCCCCCCCTTTTTCTCGGCCGAGATGTACTTAGAGGTACTATATCTAGCAGATCGCCTCCTTTGAAATGCAAATGGTATCTAAATCGTATTTCGGTAACGTGATAGGTAAGTCACGCCCTTAGTCGTAGTACTTTTGACTGACACCGGCGATGATCTCCTTCTCTCGTTGATCAACTAACCCGGTACGGAATCTGTGGTCTTTTGCGATTCGTGCCCTTGCCCATTCTACAACCTCAGTTAGCATCTAATTACTATTCACCGAGCCATTATCGATAATAACTTACCTTCAGCAGTAACATCGTGTGAGAAATGCTCTGCTTCTGACTGTAGACCAAGTCGCTGTAGCAATGGGCTTACGACGGGCTTTAGGAGGATGTTGGCCTCGGGTCGAGCGAAGTAAATTAAGCTCAGCCTAGGCCGGTCTGCTTGGTCCTCAGGGGGTCGCACTACTCGATGGACGGTGCTCTTTAAGTAGCCGCCACTTAGAAATTCTAGCGCGTCCGCAATATTTACGATAATTGCGTCCCTTGGTGACCTAACGTACTTCCATTCCCCCTCCGGGGTCTGCACTTGTAACCCTGCGATTGGCTGGTGGAAGAGGAATGTTAGCGTGTTGTAGTCTGTGTGCCCCTTCGCCCAGATGTTGCCGATTTGGGCGTCCGCTTCCGCCGAGCGGGGGTGGTACTTCATGTACCGCAGATACTCTAAGCCTTCAGCTTCGTAGCGGTGGCGTTCAATAAGATAATCCTCGTCGATTTCGAGAACATAGGCAAATAAGCGTAGGAGGGGAAGTAGAACGTCGTTGTGAACTTTCAGTGAGAAAGCCCGTATTTCCTCCCAGTGTTCTCTAATGAGCTGCGGATGCGGCCGCTTGTGTTCTGGTGTGAATTTGGGAATATTGTAGCGCTCATCGTTATCCCGAGTGGCGAGCTTTCCTGTAGACTGCGGCTTATATCCCCTGAAATCTCCCTTTGCCGTGTCGCATAGATACTTGGTCTTTTCCTCCAGTGGTAGATCGAAGAATGCCTCGCATAATGCATACTGTTGCCTGACGTCCTCATCTGAGAATCCATGACCGATAACATAGAAGAAACCTGGAGTAGATATTTAGTACTTGTTAATGTGCATAAGCTCTAGCTCGCCGTACCATTTTTGTTAATAAACCGTAACACCTGCTCTGCCAGCTCCTCCTTACCCCCTGGTTGATTTAGTTTAGAGATATCGAGCGCTTCCAACTCCGCATATTTCACTATCGCACCTTACATTAGGACGTGAGGACGCTATTTATCGCCGATTATATACGTACATCTCTCTTTGGTTTCTGTTGGATATTCATAAGTTGAAAGCGATTCTACTTCGGACGGAGGCATAATTTGGTTTATACCGTAGACCTTTGCTAGTTCTTTTCTTTCGGCAAAATCGGCTTCTCATATGTTAACCAAGAAGTCTAGTCATAAGTTGAATCACTTAATTAAGGTAGTAGATGTCAACTATTTTCTTCACACAAAATAATCGAGCGGGGAAGTTGTCCCTTCATTTGATGACCGTGTATCTCAAATATCTCCACAAGGATTGAGCAGTAAAATTCGGTGGAAATGATGTCATTTTTAACTTATATGGCGAATTGTACTGGTATATCTCAATCTGGCAGCCCCTATTCGCCAAAGACCTACCAGTGTTTAAGTAGTTCTCTCCAACATAGCCATTATATTTATGGTTCTCAAGACGTCAAACGGATTACTTTCAAGAGGTTCCAGATAGTCACCATAAATGCACATATCCTACTCAGTTGTTATGCTAGTAGCAAATCCTTGCAACAAGGTGCAAAGCTTTGTTTATATATACAAAGGAATGAAGTTCTTAACTTAAGTATTGAGTCGTGATGTTAATATCTAGCAGATCGCTAAATAACATAGTGACTTTTGTAACAACCGTAATATTATAAGGATAGCTTTAAAATAACTCCCGCTTACATTAGGTACTTAAGTTTAACCAATTAAAGGCTTAGACTAGATTCCGCTTCTCCTAATCGTTCCTGTTTTACAAAGCATTCCACGAACCTACAATTTTCCGGTATGGTACCCAGCGTCTTTGAGATATGGCAATAGCTTTTCGAAGCCGTCAAGAGTTCTGAAGGCACCCGGAACAAGGACAATTGCAGGTAAATTGGTAGACGACATGCTGATCTTTAGATGCTATGATGTTTACGACAGCAGTTCGCTTTGTTTTCTTACGGTCAGTGGAAAGATAAAGGATATAAATTAGGTAGCTAAGGAGGTAGCTATATCAATCCAGGTCTTTCCTATGAGCAAGCCAGGTACATAATGACTTAGGTATCTCCTAGGTACCATTCAATGTTGTACAACCCAAAAGCCCAGAAGCAATATACCTAACAACCTCTGATAACAAGGATGGCGATACAAACCGAACATAGTGTAACAATTAGCAACATACTTATTTAAGACATATTCCCAAGTAGATACTCTAAATTACGTACATCTACTAATTAATGCACATAGTGGCCGAGAATTTGACTTCGGCATAAGAGGTAAGATAGATAGGTAGGTAATCTTGAATCTTTATATTGTCCGATATTAGTCAAAATCGGACTCTCATATTACCTCAACCCCAAACTCGTTCGCTGTGATCGGGGTAAACATGGAGTCTTCTTCGCTAGGCTCCATGGACCTCTCAGACAATCGTCAACCTGACCTTTATGCAGCTATAACTGTCTGTCTCTTCTTTGCATTAGTTAGTGTTGCTCTTCGCTTTTGGTGTCGTTGGATCAATAAAGCAAGTTTTTGGCTTGACGATTGGCTCATCCTCTTTGCACTTGTAATTATGAGCACAATCTACCTATCTTTTACGTCGTAGCTAATAAATTCTCTATCAGGCTAGCTCTTTTGGCCTTGCTGTTGATCAATTATGGTGTAAGAATAACCCTACGAGGCTCCGAGTATTATAGATAACTAATACAATTAGGGATCCCACGAGGCCTTGGAAGGCATGTTCAAACCTTTGGGCCTAATGTCGTCGAAACGTTTTATATTTGTCTTTTCATCTCCGAGATGACATATACTGGCGCCATAGTTTTTGTCAAATTCTCTATCCTCGCCTTGTACTGGCGTATCTTCAACAAGAGCGGGAGCATCAAGCTCCCGATAACCATTCTCACAGCAGCGGTTTTGATGTGGGGCCTAGCAGTGGTACGTTTTTGATTTAAACAACAGGATCCAAATCTGACAAGACAGCTTTTCCTTACTCTGTTGCAATGTATCCCAACTCGAGGCATATGGGATAAAACTATCGAAGCTTCTTGCAATGTAGACAGTCAAAAGTTCCTCTTCGCAATCTCGATTCCAAATATTCTTGTCGACGTTACTATTCTCATACTTCCTATCCCTTACGTTATGCATCTTAATGTTACAAAGAGTCAAAAAAGAGCTGTAATAACTCTCTTCCTTCTAGGTGGTTTGTACGTTGTTATGTATCACTCTTCTGACTTCCTAAGTGTTGTAGTACTTACTGAGGGTAGCGTTTGTGTCGCTTCTATAATGCGGCTCGTTGCTGTTATAACTCAGAAGGACGACGTTGATATATCCTGGAATATCGTTAACCAGAGCATCTGGGCTACTGTTGAAGCTAATTTCGCAATCATCTCAGGTGCGTTCCTATATTTCCCAAGTATCAAAGTCCGTAGCAAGTGTTCATCATCACAGGATGTCTACCAACCCTGCGACCGGTATGGATAGCAATTCGAAAGAAAAGTTCTCATACCGAACAATCACGTTCGTCGTATCAGCATACGGCCGAAACTACGCCGCCGAGGCGTAGGCCATCTTCATGGGCGACATTGATCCTCGGATCCAAAGCCAACTCTGAGGAGGATAGCTTGCCATTCTCAGCTATACACGGTCCTACCGAAGATCCTTCACGCCCCGGGACCGTACAAGAGCTACAAATGTCGAGCATAGCTACATCAATCCCATTACCAGATATTCCAACTCGGATGATTCAGAGCCCGGATACCATAAGAATCGAAAATACATGGGATGTAGAGTACAGCCAGGAGGTTCAGCCTGAGAACCATGCCTGAGTTTTCGAAGATCATTGCGTTAGATCTCCTATCTAGATGCTGAATAGACCCGGAGCGGGAACTAGTCCCGCTGCAATCCGACGCCGTGAGGTCTCCGGTAGCATAAGATATTAATCGTTCACTCCCCAATTTGATTAATCATGTAAGCCGGCCACATTAGCGGCGATCCCGGCTTATTCAAATAAATCCGACTTATACGGATATATTAGCTAGACGAAGTCAGGCTCTGATTGAGTCGTCTATATTCTATCAGATAATTCTGTGATTGCTCATTGTATTGTACCTTCTCAATCAAAGTATCCGCAAATTACCTACCTTTAGATGGACAATACCGACGTTCTCATAATCGGCGGAGGTCTTACCGGGGTGATACTACCTAGCTCTAGAATTGGCTGCGCAGAATATATCCTTCCGCATTATTGACAAATCTCTTGGTCGTTCAGATAAGAGCCGAGCTTTAGTCGTCTAGCCACGTACGCTCGAATTACTTCATCGTCATGGATTCGCCCGCGACCTCCAAAACCGAGGCAATGCTACCCCCGGCGCAAGGTACTACGTCAACGGAAAGCAGGCAGTCAGGATAAACGTCGAGGAGGCCGCGGTAATCCCAACACGGCCTTCTCGTTCCAAAAACTCATTTCACAGGAAAATACGGAACGTTTTCTCGATGAATGCCTGGCGAAGTATTGTCCTCACTGACACCCACGTAAAGTGGGATAATCCAAACCATGATGCGATTATGTCTTTCGGTCAAGGTATATTGGCTGTATTGCCCATGAAGAATGGAATAATTCGGGTCTTTGCGTCGGGGGCTAACGTGACGGGGAGAGAGGGAACCCCACTGCCCGAAGACTTCTAGGAATTATTTGATAAGATGGTCCTAGTAGGCGGAAAATTACACGACCCTATCTGGCTTGCGCGCTTCTACCTCCATCATCGGGGTTTAAACAGGTATAGCAACGGGAGGCTATTCGTCGCCGGTGACGCTGCCCACATTCACACTCCTTAAGCCCTCATCAAGCAATTACTATGTACGACTCGCCATTTAAATTTTGTTGAGCTCAAAGACAATTAAAGGGGTAAAATATAGCCGATATTTAACCGAAGCCTCGGTAAGCGTCGGTGGACTAGGTACGTACCTCCTAAGATGGCTTAGACGTGCACATACGGTCAGAAAAACACCAAAGAAACTTCGATAAGACTCAATTATACGCAGCAAAAACCATCATGACCAAAAGATAAAACCACGGTCGGTTCTAAGTCATGGCCGCTATTCGTTTCTCCCCGTTTCAACTTCTAAATAGTCATATATACTAAGAATACACATTTCATTAAATCGCATTCGTTCCGATCAATTCCCAACAAATGGCGCACATCTTGTCTAGGTCACGTGCTTTACTGCCGTGTCGGGCGATATCATTATCAAACACTGCCGTCGCTGGTGCTAGACAATCACCCTCATTATGGCAGCAGCAAAGATTACACCAACAACGATGGAGCTCCCACTCTCCCCTAGGCACAGGGTTAGATCCTTCAAGAAAAAAGGTAACCATGGGAACTCTTCAATCTATGTATAAAAAGGGGGAACCTATCACGGTCATGACTGCCCATGATTTTCCAAGTGCACATGTCGCAGATGCTGCTGGAATGGACGTGATACTTGTGGGAGATAGCCTAGCGATGGTCGCTTTAGGGATGGAAGATACCAGTGAAGTAACGGTTGAAGACATGCTGCTACACTGTCGATCAGTCGCACGTGCCACCAAAGCAGCCTTCACAGTGAGTCCACATGCCAAGTTTGATTGATACAGAAAACTAACGTCAAACCAGGTCGGAGATCTTCCCATGGGGTCGTATGAAATCTCGCCGGAGCAAGCACTAGAAACAGCCATACGATTCATCAAACAGGGCCGTGTCCAAGGTATCAAGTTGGAAGGAGGAATAGAGATGGCACCAACCATTGCGAAGATAACGAAAGCCGGGATACCTGTCTTAGGCCATATCGGGCTTACGCCCCAACGCCAAGGAGCCCTTGGTGGATTTAGAGTCCAGGGGAAAACGTCAAGAGGTGCAATGAAAGTCCTCGAGGACGCGTTGGCCGTCCAAGAAGCTGGATGCTTCGGTATGGTGGTGGAAGCTGTTCCAGCGGAAGTCGCAAGTATCATCACACAGAAGCTACGCGTCCCGACCATCGGAATCGGTGCGGGAAATGGTTGTTCTGGCCAGGTACTCGTCCAGATCGACATGACCGGTAATTTCCCACCGGGTCGTTTCATTCCTAAGTTCGTAAAACAGTATGGTAATGTGTGGGCCGAAAGCCGTAGAGCGATCGAGTCTTATCGGGAGGAGGTGAAAAGCCGCCAATACCCAGCTCCAGAGCATACATATCCTATCTCTCCAGGCGAGCTCGAGGCGTTCATGAGAGATATTGAGAAGCTATGACGCGATATCAATCGCTTGGTTGGGTTCTGCATTATACCACAGACCGATAGAGGGTTAAAGGCGCAACCATCCAGTTTGGTTTAATATACCGTGTCAGCATAGATAGGCGTTTGGGGAGTATAATTGAGACGTCATGATTGCAGCAATCCTCCATCTCATCTCATCCAAACGCAGGAGTCATTGAATAAGCCACAATCAACTGATCGTTTGAATCCTTAAAACACTATTAGGAAAGTCAGCATTCTAATAGCAAGTAAAATGAGATAATAACACATACTCGATGTAAGTTGCCGACGATCTCATCCAGAGCGGGGGCAAAGACACTATTCACGTAGAGAAACAGACTATCGGTAGGATTGAGATGCAGCGCCTTGCGTAAGTGAGACACGACGGCCTCGAACTTTTGCGCGGCGCTTATCTGGCGCACTTCGCGCTTGAGCTGCGGAGCAGACCCTCCGACAGCCTTGAAACGAATGCGAACTTTCTCCTTTTCAAATTTACCAGCGCTGGCGAGAGCCGAGCTTGCATCTTGAGGAAGCGCCGTGAGGACAGCTGACGCAGTCATAGTAAGTGGGAGTTCAGGTGATGCAGGTCGATCCGGAATGGGAGAAGCTGGAGGCGACGGAGAGGGCTGTTCGGGAACATCGGGGTACTCCATCTTGTATTATATATACGCTATAATATTATTGTAGAAGCGTATTTATATAGATGAATGGATCAATATTCAAAATCCTGAGGTTTGCGGAACATACAATCATACAAAAGTGAAAGATGAAATTGATTGTTTCCGACTTGGAGTTTCCGAAGAGTCAAGTACTAAACTGTCAAACCTAGGACTCAGTGATCCCCACATTCAGCAAGCCACATTTTGGAAATGTTGTGGCTTACGTACCAGATCTTAAGTACTACAGGTACCTAATGGAACCTGTTAGGTGCAGGTATTCTCAACTCTTCCTGTTTCAACCAACTTCTATAAGGTATTAAAATGTCAATATCAAAATTGAGCGCTCTGATTTTCGTTCAATTTATTATTCAACTCATGTAGTATAAAACCCTATCGAATCTCCTAACCATCCAGCCGTAGGCCAATCAAACAATTTGTCCTGATCCCCTTTGTCTTGTTGAAAACACAAAATGGTCATGATCCAAATCCCTTTGTAATCCCCCCTAGCAAGCCGTCCGCCCATCTATGCTAATTCTGCTTCGATTACCCCCTCGTACCCTCTAGGGTCCATCCAAATCTTGTTTATCTTATATCCAGCGTCATTTATTAGCTTCCTCCACGTAGCTTCCGTCCTTTCACAAGCCGAAAGGAGCGCCATCATGTTCAAATCCATACCCGCTTGGTAAACGCTCGCACCCTTCGGTGGGATTACAACGTCGCAGACGAGGAGCTTGGAATATCCCTTCTTCATCGCTGGCACGATATTCTGGAGGATCTGAAGTGATGGCTCGTATGCCCAGTCATGGAAGACCCCGCGAAGAAAGTATGCGCGACTCCCTATTTCACACGCCATATATTAACTTATATTACAGTTTCATACCGATTTATATAATTTTAATAAGATATAGACTTACCATAAATAGGTTGGGGCTCGAAGAAGCTATGTGGCATGAGTTTAACCTTATCTGTGTCGAGATTTGCATCCGCGAGGACAGCTTCGAGGTCTTGGATAACCAGAGAACCGGCTGGCACATCTGGGTGTTTCTTCAGGAATTTAAGAATATCATAGCCATGGTGGCCCCCTATATCGACAACTAATGGTGCACCAGAAGTAAGATCAGCGCCGGCGACAAGCGAAGTCGTATCGTAGAAATCAGGCCACGAAAACCTATACTTTGACCACTCCCTCATATAGCCACTGAAGCTATCCTGGTAGCTTTGATTGGAGAGACATCTGTCAAAGAATGATAACCGTTCCGGAAAGGCGTCAACGTAGTTACTATACTTCGGATCTAAAGGCTCTCGATACGACGTCTTTGCTAGAAACGACGGCAAATTCATAGATGAGGCATTCCAATGATTGGCCCTATGACAAATGAGCAGCCGCACAGTTAATACGTTGGAATACAATCTCACATAGCAAGAATGCCTTGGGCAATAGTGGTTGATTCATCGCCGATTGAAAGTGAGAAGTCAGTTGGTTTGTATCGATCTTCCCCTGTTTCCTCAATAATGTACGTGGCCCCTAAAAGTCGCAGTAGGCGGCCTTTCAGGTCAATTTTAGTCCTCAACCAAGAAAACGGCGAACGCATATATTAGACACTTACGGAGCAAGTTCAAATCGCAATCTTTCGTAGCCAATTTAGCTAGCTCTTCGACAGTTTTTTCACCACCACCCACTGCCGTCCATCGGTGCCAGATACCAAGGTCTAGGCATATCTTCAACGCCGCATACTCGGCCGGGTTCCGAAAATCGATATTGAAGATTCTTTCTTGCCTCGTTTCCAGTCTACCAACTAGCCTGCGCGCACTTGATAGCAACTCCAGCCTTTCTACCTCGTGGCCTTCGAAGTCGGCAACCGCAAAGGCATTCAGCCTGTCTACTACCAGGTTATAGCTATCACCCATTGTAGTGTCCGCAATAAAATATGATACGTAAAGAGGTGCAAGTTTTATTCACTTTGGTCCTCAGTGAGACGCTTACCGACGTATTTATAATGTAATGTAAACCCCCTCAGCCAATGTTACAGCACCTTCATGCACAACGATATCGAAGTGATACATACCTCAGGTAGGCAGGTATTTATTCATATCCCGAATGATACATCACATTTGACAATATATTCAAGTGTACTTTACTCATCTAAGCAATACCATTACTATACATGCATACCTCGTATAAAGCCATGGAGCATATAACAGAAATTTTATAAATATTCCGAGCTTGATCTTCATTAAATTTCCCATATTAGAGCCTACATCTAGCAAAAGCTGGCATACCAAGAAAGTGACGGCATTATCACATACTTCAGTGTGTTATTCGGGTTACCCTATCGAGCATAAAGTCTTTTATTTGTGTACCTTATCCTATTCTATCAGCCGCTGTCTCCTATCATTCCATCCTCCCTTGCTTCCCATCCCGTACCCTGTACTTCCCTGTACATCTCCTCGTTATGTGCTCCCTTTTGTCCATCTCTCCCTATCAGCGGCGTTTAGGGTTACCCTATCCTGTCGTATACTAATCATTCCAGGTAGATCTCATGATGTAGTGAAGTGCCGGCATAATGAAATAGAAATTATTACTGTTTCCAGCCGTCCAGCACCGAGTAGGATCATGATCTAGGCCATCATAGGAGATATTATCATAGGAGACATTTGCTACTGCATGCAGCGTCAGCATCGGATATAACTCATAAAAGACATAATATTGTAAAGTGTTTATCACGATATATATCAATACACAAAAGCGCTCAAACGGCATAAGAATGCGTGGAAATATCTACAAATAAGAGTATGTAGATAGCAAGTCCCAACTGAGCCCTCCATTGATAGACTAATAAGTTGGTTACTCAAGATAGAAGTATTCAAGTTGCACCGACGTCTTGATTAGCGGTGAGTCCCCTCAGTTACACCGAGCATTGATTCGCTTCGGCACCGAGAGGCATCGAGTAAGGTGCAGATGTTAGACATGCATGTCGGAGTAATAGAACAACCAGGTGCTCGGAGATAGCTTCGCCGCGCGTAAGATAACCAAGGCATTATTTCATTTGACATTCCAGTCTGCCAGCTTACGCAGAATATATTACGGGAATATACGAACCATGAGGAGATATGGAGTCTTCGTCAAAATCCGGAACTATAACCGGTCCAGTCTTGTTGGAAATACCTACCCCTAAACATCCCCGATTCCCCCGCCCTCCGCGCTGGCCTAAACCCTTATTAAAAATCAAAAATTTCCAGATGGTAGCTTTATTCCTAAAAACGCTTAAACATGGGGACATACGCAGAAAAGATAAACAGGTGCTATATTGCACTATATTGACAGAAGAAAAAAAAAATACCTAACAGTGAAAAGAATTGTTCACGAGATGATGTCAAAAAGATCTCCGAATCGGGGAATCGAACCCCGGGCTTGACGGATCATAGGTTGTATGATGAGAGCGTCAAATGTTAGCCACTACACCAATTCGGATTGTTCATCGAATGCCATGACAAGTCATTCATCTGCTGTGTGAAAATTTGAAGCATATTTTGGTATATATATCACCTAGTTTTGCTAGCGCAGTCCAAATCCACTTTAGCCGCATCTCTTGGGAGGTTGAAGCTTTCCCTTATAGGCAACAAGTGGAGGGAGCTAAATAGGAGAATAAAACTTGGCGGCTATAAATGTGGATAGTCGTTGGGATTGATAGCCCAGTGCGACAAAATCCGAGTACCCAACAAGACAACAGTTAGGTACGAGATATTATTCCGATTAAATGTTAGACTGGACTAGGAGTCTAGTCTAGGGATGGGTATAATCCTGTTATTGTCAGAATCTTGTTGCATCGGCTAAGAGCTCAGGTTCATCAGGGGCGAATTGAGCATACCCTCTATCCGACGGTCCACACGTGTATTTACATAGCGATCTCCCAGCTTTTCGATAAGGGGAGAGAACGTTTGGCGGGGTTCAGCTTTTAAACGAAGACGTTCCGCCGCTTCAATAGCCATATACGGAGCTCTTCCTCTTCTTGCCCAACCCCTTCCGGCAAGTTGGCATATTCATCTACTCGAGCCGTCGTTAATTCATCGATGGGAAGAGTCCCCTTTTAGCAGAACCACCAGGTAGTCGAACCGGAAGAAGTCGCTCTCATCTAGTGATCATAGATGATCTACTACTCTTTTATGGTTCTCTTCGTTCTGGAATTTTTCACCGGAGAATTCGTCAAATGTGACTGCCCCTGAAAATAGCTGAAACCTGCAATCTCTTGCAAACTTAGCTTCCTGATAAGTCTAAAGCCTCTGGTTCCAGTTGCTTCTCCCTATCCTTATTGAAGCTGTCTAGCTCTATTGTAGGCCCATATGGGCCTTCCACGACCCGGACGATCGGGATACCGCCATATAAGAGAACCTCACAAATAGCTTAAACCAGCGCCGTTATCATTTCACACTCCATATTGTAGTAGTTCTCATCGTGAGAAGGCTTATACGTCCTATCTTCGACCTAATTAGCGTAACATGCCACATAGGTATATTTCGAGTGGTCTTTATCTAGTCTCGTTCGTCCTAGGGTCGCACAGCAAAGCAGAACAACAGGTGAGCACTTTAAATAAAGGTTGGGTAGTTCTCCGCGGCACCAGCTAGAATTCAACAATAGGCGATCCATAGTCGGAGAGCGTGCCCACCTGATTGTAGTCATGGTCTCCGTCGGGATATAAAAATGTGGTTGTGATTGAAGACTAAATAATCCATAAGAGCCATGATAGATAATATGGAAGATTACTCCTTCATTTTCGATAATAGTGCTCGATAGTCGATTAATCCTTGTATTCACCACCTTGTTGGCGGTATAGAGTAGTTCGCAAAACTCGGCTCTGGCTGTGACCCATTTCTTTTCTGCAATTGTATGACCTGCACCACACCAATACCAGATATACTGCTCCAACTGCGCGTATGAAATAATCTGGTTTCCTCGTTCTTCTATCACTAGGTCGGAAGGATGAAAGAGAACCAGACATACTTGACAAATCTCCCCGATTAAACCAAAACAGAGCCAGTTCTGGAGATGCAGTGTGAACTGGAATTCTGTCAAGGAGTCCGGTGTGTCGAGCTCTAACGCAGTGAGATCGATCCTATGTTTATCTGGGTAAGTTCTGAAGGGCCCGGTGTCCCTCTCATATTCGCGGACGCAAGGGACCTTGAGTTCTGATAGTACTGGATCCATGACAATCCAAATTTGAAATGGGATTCATTAATATGTAATAGTCATATCTGTCGGGTACGCGGATGCTCTTCATTAATAAGTCGAAAGAAATCAAAAGGGAGAAGACATACCAAAATATCGAGTACTGAGCGCAACAAGGCAATTAAGTCACCAACGCCGTAGTCAAGGGTGAACCAGATCAACAAATTATCGAGCTGACCGACGAAAAGAGATTGGAAAAACTTAGATGTGCACGATTCTTCGTCTTATAGACTACTACCTATATATACACGACCTAGTGACCATATTTACACCGTTCGCTTCGTTAATGTCGAATACTATCGTTTTTAATGTCGTTCCAGCCGCCAGTCAGGTTACCGTCAAGCACCGTCCATACCGGAACCCCCAGACACCCGTAAAGGCTGGCGTTTGGGCCGCTACGCCAACTAAAAGATTTTGACGAAATAGAAAACAAAGCCACCTTTCGCCAACAATGCATAAAATAGAGATGTCTGACGAGTGGATGCGGAAAGAACTAAATGCTAAGACTCCATCCCATGCCATGCCATGTCCTTTCCATGGAATATATGGAAAGGCGTATTAGGCTCCATCGTTCTGCCGAGTAAGGGTCAAAATGGGGTATCATCGCACCGCGAATGCCGTAGAAAAGACAGTCCAAAATTAGAAGTGGGGTCAAAGTATGGTGTATTCCTAGTTGTGAATGATCGGCTGGTAAGCACAGCTTATAGAACTGCGGCGTATTGGAGGTAAATCTGCGTCTGCTGGTAGAAATGAGTGAGCTTGGGTTAAGGTGAACTAGTAGACCTCGTCGTATTCTTGGAGAGAAGGAGCCCAAGATGAGAAAGATTTGCGCTTAGGCATACGCTGAAGCTGAACAAGGAGGTCGTCCAAGTCAACCCAGTTGCGATCATCGTCAGCAAATTTGCGATGCTTCTTGGACAGGATGTGCTACAAGAACCGTTAGTATCAGACGCATTAGAACTATTTACGTTTAGAAAAGGGACATACCTCATCAAAATCAGCGTATTTATCCGCGCAGTTCTCACAATAACCTGGTTTGAGCTCGCTTTTCTTTGACTGCGACGATTCTCGCTTTTCTGCGCGCGGAACAACCTTCGGCTTGGATCCTTCTTGGGAGTCTTTATCGGTAGCATCTTCATCAACAAAATCTAACTTCCGACTCGATGTACGGCTCATAGGGAAAGTCCGCTTGACTGGAACCTCATCTCGCGGGGTTATCTCGGCATTCCGGCGAGAGCTTAGATCCTGCGAGGTCGCGGTACTGTTGCGCTTCAGGACCTGACGCTGAAGACCGTGAACTTCTTTGCTTAGACCAGTTATGAGACCTGGTGTTGTTGCGGTGGAGGAGACCATCTGGGATCGAATTGCTGACGTTATGTTCGAAGGTTGGACTCCGGATGCAACCGGCTCGCCGCCAAAGAGACGGCTAGCAGCACGACCGGTAAACGCGTTAGAGCGTGATTCCACAATCTGGCCGACAGGTAACCTAGATGAGTTGGACAGGTCCATGGAGGCGACACTAGAGCCACGGGAATGGCCATTTTCCATCTCACACAACGATCGCTTTCCAGTCACGGGCTTCGGAGGTTCCATCTTGAAGGATGGAGGAGCAGGCTTAGTCTCGGTGGCGGCTCTGGTCACCTGGACTTTCGGCTTGGGCTCGGGTCGGGGATCTCTCGGTTCATGCTCGTTAATAAACGGACATCGTCCCAATGCAGCAGTACGGAACTGGGGCCAGTCGCCCTTTGCCTTCTCGGCAACCTTCTTATACTCTCTGACCATGATAGGCTTTTGCTTCTCCTCAACATCATAGACATATATGTATGGACCCTTAAAGTAATGCAGCTCCTGACCATTGGCGACTGGATCTCGGTCAGATGGCCCGTTGACTCGCTCATTGTGGAGAAGATGTAGTAGGTTACGGTCCTCAGTAGTTCGAGGTTCGGGTTCTCTTGCTTTGCGAGCTCCATACGCAATCTCCACGCTAACGTATGGATCGGTCTCAAGGAGTAAAGCCATCATTCGCTGCAACTTATCTAAAGACCAGATCTTTTTCCCCATCTCCCTAGCACGCAGTAAGACATCTGCGCTACGCTTTGGTTGATTTAGTGAGCCGACTTGAACATGCGACGATGTTCTCTGTGTTCGGGCATCTCTATCAAAAGTTCTTCGTTTAGTAGAGGCCTCTGAAAGCCGGGTTAGTAATGAAGGATTGATGGTCTTGACCTCCTCTTGTTCCTGGTCCTGGTCCTGTTCTTGTTCCTGCTCATGTATGTGGTCCTCGTGCTTTTCGGTAGTTGCGTCCTCTTCTTGACGACTTACACTCTTCTCAGAGGGAATAGGCCGAGTTGTTACAACATGGGTGATGTCGATGGAGAAAAAGGCTGCCTCACGCTGTATAAAAGCAATGTAAGCAAACCGAAGCATCTAACATAGAAACACTCTGTCTACTTACAGCACCTAAGGCAGCAATCTGTTTCGCGAGCTTTTTATGGGCATCGTTAGGGACCTTCTCGAAGTAGAAAACAAGCTTGGGGAATCTGGCTCGGTGGTGCTGCTGCCATATTTGAATCTCCTCGATATCCTTCTCTGTATATCCAAGAGAAGCAGGTGCCGGTTGTTGGGAGCGTTGATGGTGGGAATGGCCTGCTCTCTCCCTAGCCAACTTGCTCTCGTAGGTGTTTGCATTGCGACGTATCTGTATGGGGATTTGACTCTTAGAAGCCCGCTGCTGTTGGGATGGAAGTAAGCGTTGGGAACCACCCTCGATGATTTGCTTCTTGGCCGGAGGTGGCTGGCCGTATTGTTCTTCCCGTTGTATCTGAGCTACGGTGCGTTTTTGTTTGGCGAGAGTGGTGCTACGCAGAGGGGAATTGGCCACATTCTGGTTCGTAGACAAAGGAACTCGTCTACTAGACATGACGGATCGAGGCATAGGCGTGGGTGATAAAGATACGGCTGCCATATAAATGTCGACTACTCAATGCTGAGGAATTTGACAAAGGTCAAACGGATTGTAGGTCAGGACTGTGCTGACCAATAAATACAATGTTATTATTGGTGGTGGTCGAATTGTCTTGGGGTCGTTGGGGTCTTGGGATTAACAACCACAAAGGTGGAATCCAGACCGGGAATAATAAAAGCTGACTCGTTCTTCGTTTTGATCCGGTTCGACCTAGAATGACGGTTGTTCTTTTTAGTTGTGCCTAAGGTATGTGCTAAAGTATATATTTTTCTTTAAGTCCGAGAGTTCCCACGCGACGAACCGTGGCACAACACGCTGGATTCGATGAAGCACAACACGACAAACCCTTGGACGTTAGGAGGTCATTGAGGCGAATTGAAGAAAATTAAATGACCTTGGAAAATTGGGTGATTTAAGAGACGCGAAAATGACCAGTGATCCTACGTGTATGAGTGTTGGAAGTCAAGTCCCAAGTTAGAAAGCTCTGGCTGGTGGTAGTGGGCAATTCAGTAGGTGAAATTCAATTCCAAGCTTTTTGAGGCGTGACTAGTTATTCCGCGCTAGCACTAACAATTTACGAATCAACAACAAGAGTTGTGCACGGGCCATTTGACATCACTGTTAGCCCCCACTATATTCCGTAGATTTGCACAGCAACCGTACCATGTAATTCTGTTTTGTTAGTGTGTATTATTTACATACATCTTTTCAGCTAGCCCCACCAGCTCCCCCGCCATGAACCACCACCAGACAGCCAGACCACCCGGCCCACCTAAGGCAGCAGAGCCAGTTAGAATTTAGGTAATCAACGCCTTCTGATTGCTCCAAAAACTTTCCGAACCTTCTATTGATGTTTCATTTTGATGCGCCTCAAAAACTTTCCGCATTACAACATCAAGACTAGAATGAGATGCACCAAGTAAATTCAGCCCCTAGGCACCTAACATATAGAAAAGCGACATCTTTCTAAAAACCAAGGTTTTATCCTAGTGCAGGAATAATTGAGCTTTAATATTCCCATATTACCCCTTTGGGTAATACTCAAGTAATTCCGATGATGCAATTGGTTACAGTATTCCAAGGATTCCAAAGATGAAGTTTCGTCAACAACAATTATGGCAACTTGAGCGCCATCTTAAGCCACACTCGAAGCTTTCCTCCCCACAGTTACAACGCTCAAGACCTATATCAACAACAACAACAACAATACCCTCTACCCCACGATTCTCGAATACGTCCCTCAGTTGTACAGCCTTAAGATGTAGACCAAGATCTACGCGTACCTATCACACATCCGTCTCTGCCTCCGAGCTCCTCTTTGGCCAACCTGTCCACGAAACACACCCTCATATCCTCGCAGCCGGTGAACTCACGCCAGGTATAACTGCACAAGAATATCACGACCGCCGTGCCGCCCTTTGCCACTCCTTACCCCCAAACTCCGCCGTCCTTCTCCCCGCCGCAACCCTCAAATACCGATCCGGTGCCGTTTTCTTCGCCTTCCGCCAGGAGTCCAACTTCCTCTATCTCACTGGATTCTCCGAACCTGAATCCATAGCCGTATTGAGGAGGACTGGCGATGAGCTCGGCGATTACACATTTCACTTATACTGCAGGTCGAAAGACCCAAGAGCAGAACAATGGAGCGGTCCTTGGAGTGGAGTTGATGCCGCGAGAGACGTTTGGAACGCGGACGAAGCAGAGGATATTAAGCGGGTAGACAGAACACTAGCCTCGGTGCTAGATGGTGCTAAGATAATATTCACGGATGCTGAACTGACGCAAAATGGGACGTCTACAAAACTAGCAAACCTCTTGCGTTCAGCAGCTCCCAATGCGAGTATATCTCCCTTAAGGTCACATATCAACGTTCTCCGTGCCATCAAATCGCCAGCCGAAATAGCCAACATGCGGCACGTGGGGCAAGCGTCCGGCCGGGTGCTGACAGAAGCTATGCGGCGGTCGTGGAAGTATGAAAAGGAGTTGGCTTCGTTCCTGGAGTACCAGTATCAAATGTCTGGTCTGGACGGACATGCTTACATCCCCGTGGTAGCCGGAGGGCCAAAGGCGACACTCATCCACTACGTCCTAAATAACGGTATACTAAACGACTCGGAGTTCATCCTCGTAGACTCCGGTGGTGAATACGGAACATACATTACTGACATAACACGGACATGGCCCGTCTCAGGGAAATTTAGCGAACCGCAGAAGGACTTATATAACGCTATTCTTCGCGCTCAGCGATCATCCATCTCGCTCTGTCGCGCTAGCGCCAATGTCACTCTCGACAAATTGCACCTGATCACGGAGAATGCCCTCCGTGACCAACTACAACAGCTTGGCTTCGACCTAAGTGGAGATGCCATGGGAACTCTATTCCCGCACCACGTTGGGCACTACATCGGCCTTGATGTCCACGATGTTCCCGGATATGCGCGGAACGTGGTCCTGAAAGAAGGCCACTGCGTCACGATCGAACCCGGCATCTACGTGCCCGATGATGAGAGGTGGCCCAAATCCTTCCGGGGTATGGGCATTCGAATCGAAGACAGCATATGTGTGGGCAATGATAGCCCCCTTAACCTAACTACGGAGGCGGTTAAGGAGGTTGACGACATCGAGGCATTAAGAGATTAGAAGACACTCATGAATTGTATAAAAGCCTACTTTTTGGAAAATCGTTACTAAGAAGCCCGAGACGACCAGAATTCAAAGGCATAGCATGCTATTAAGGAAGTATATTATGAAATACCACTCATTGGACGGCGTATACATCTATTCTATAGACGATTCCTCGGCAAGTCTATTGTAAAATATATATCTCAATTATAGTGAACTTGGCCCATTGGACCTATATTACGACAGACATCATACCTATCTCATTTTCGCCTCCTACCATACATAGAAAGGTGGCAATGAAAAAGCCTAACCTTGAGAGCCCGAGAATAGGGGGCGCCACCTCGCAGCTCACAAAACCTAGTTGATCCCGCATTGACTCATACTTGTTCCCATTCTCGAGCAATACCGCCTTGATACTTTAACGATACCAGGTTAATGAAACAGTTCCGAATAATCGTATTCGTACCTAGGGCCGCTATGTCCTAACAGTTGCCATTAGCCAGCGGAGCGAGGGCGCGTGCCTCGGTGCCAAGTAAAGCATCGTACGATAAACATACGACGTCCGGGAAGAAGCTTACTAGCGAAGTTCACTCATTTCTGATGTAAGAGAAGAGAAGAGAAGAAAAGAGAAGAAATTGCGCGCAGAAAGTATCAGCCTGGGGGCCGAGATCTATTATTAACTGGGAAAAAATGATTCCGAATGCGCTTCGTCTCCCGCAGGAGGTAAGTTAGGTATCACTATAGTAACCTAGAAACTTGTAGATTGCAAAAAAATATCGCTGGCGCCGCTCCTCTCCAGTCTCCCAGCCAGACTCTTATCCTGAGTACCTAGGCAGTAAGGGTAAACCTAAATTGATTCCTTTTCCCCTTCGTTCTCCATTTCCCCATAGGCTGTAGGATATATACCTAGCAGTCTTGTGTGAAATTTGCCTGTTCCTGTTCCCCAAAACGCCGTAGATGTGCTTAAGCAGCACCATCCCAGTATAAGTCCTGTTCTCATCTATCCCCCTAGATGTTCTCCCCCTAAAATTGAAAAATTCGAAAAGCTTTATTTTCTAGAACGCCCAACGTGCAACCCGACCGTGTAATTTACCGGACTCCGATGTATTTTCATACAGGTTGAGGTATATATATATATATGTGTGTGTGTGATAGGTATGTTGGTGGTAGGTAAAGGCGACTCAGAAGGTAGATGGGATTGTTCGTCCGTATCCAATGTTGATGTTATTCCGTCATGAGATGCAAAAGGTTTTCTGAGACTACCAAGCCCAGATTTATCAAGGTGGGTTGCCAATGTCGGGTAATATTTAAGCAAGATATTCGTTCGTCGTCGTTAAGAGTTGTTGTTGAAGCGGTTGTACTTGATTAATACAAGGGGTGAGTGGTGAGTGGTGAGTGATGAGAAATATCCCAGTCATAAATGGAGTATAAAGTAGAGCTTGTTGCCTCTTAAGAAAAGGCTCTAGGGTTGAATACGGAAGCGCCGTATCCTTGGGGTGCCCAATTTGGTGCAGGCGCAGCGCCAACCAACTGTTCGAAGGCATGCAGCCGGCGAGCGAGTTCTTCATTCTTCTGTGCCATCGACCGATTCCTCCGCTCGAGTTGGTGAATGTATTCGGTGGCTTTAGTTAAGACGGTGCCCTACATATTGTTAGTCGTTTACTCTAGACCAATATAATTCTCTACTCAGACGCACCTTGCTTACTTTAGGTGCCGTTCTCGATGCGCCACCGTTATCATTATCGTCTCCATCTTCAGGTATCGCGCGCAGAGACGGAATAGCGTCTCGTAATTCGGCGATCTTGTCCTTCAGATTGGTACGATACTTTCGTTCGATGTCGTTATGTGCCGCCCGGTCACTGTTCCTGGGCTTCTCCCTGGACTTCTCAGTAGCATCCATGGAGTTATTACGTGTTGGTGCTTGGGGTCGTGTTATGGTTGGCTTGATGCGAGGTTCGGGTGTGTTGCTTTTACTATCGCTCATAGTAGTTGGGCTTTGGTTGACTTCGAATCTGAAATCCATCCCAGGGGCTTGTCTTGCGGCTATTTGTGGTTGGGGTACTTGCCCGGTGCCCATAGCAATGGCCAGTAGTCTCTGACGCTCGGGGTCGTTAAAGGGGGGGTTAACGTTCACGTAGTCCATGCGAAAGCCAGGCTGCGGGGGCTCCCAACTTAGCGGTGTCGAGTAAAGTCTCTCGCGCGGGGGTACTTCAGAAGGTATAGGGGCCGAGTCGTTCTTAGTAAGTTGGTCGGCCAATGCCATAGAGAAGAGGTCGTCTTCGTCCGACAGCGCGTGATCAAGAGCGCTATCGTCGACCAGATCAGCAGTAGACGACGGCGGATAAGCCACTTTGAAATTGTTGCCGGATCTCCCGACAATCCTTGGCCTAGGACGAGGCTGAGCTAGGATCGGAGACTTGCCCTATACCTCAAGCAACACTCTTTAGCACTACCCCTAGAGATGTGTCCGAAGGCCATCTTTGCATGAGGAGTTGTAGGCACTTACGGTTCTGTTTTCTCGGTTTTCGGCAAAGAGAGGATCGCTCTCGTTGTCACTATCAAATCGAAGCCAGTAATCAGAACAGTCGAGGGTGGATGGGTTCTCGGCAAATTTGGACCTTCTGATATCAGAACACTGGCGCTTCTTAGGTAGCTCCTGTCTAGGAAGCTTGTGCTTATGCGAGATGGTAGAAAGGTTCTGAGAAGCTGTTGAGGCTGGCGAGTCAGCGGAAGTGCTGGGGGTCTGATGCGAGCCTGAAGTCGGGACCGAGTTCACAACACTTGATTCGGCTGACCTATCGAGTTCGTCCCAGAAGCTGATGGATGATAGTTGCTGCGAGTAGTCTGTAGATTGATCGAAGAATGTCTCAAAGGTCTGGGGCAGGTTA